AAAAATACAAAAATAAGCCAGTCTTTGTGTTGCAGCCTGTGGTCCCAGCTGCCTGGGAAGATGAGGCAGAAGGACTGCTTGAGTCCAAGAAGTCAAGGCTGAAATAAGCCATGTTCATACCACTGTAATCCAGCCTGGGTGACACAGCAAGGCTCTGTCTCAAAAAAGAAAAAAGAAAAGAAAGAAAGAAAATAAACAATAGTATATATACACAAAAGAATACTATTCGGCCTCAAAAAGAAGGCACTCCTGCAACATGCAACAACGTGAAATAAGCCGGGCACAAAAAGACAAATACTTCATGATCTGACCTGTGGAAACTTAAAAAGTCAAACTTCTCAAGTTTGACTTAAGAAATGCAGAGTGCAAAGGTGGATACTAGGAGCTGGAGGTCGGGGATTGGGTGAGAGTTCAGGGTGATGTTGGTCAAAGAACAAACACAAAATATCAGCCAGAAGGAGTAAGTTGAGGAGATCTACTGTGTAACATGGTGACCAGTGAGCAACCTTGCATTGTACCTTAAAAACCACTGAGAGTAGGCCAGGCACAGTGGCTCATGCCTATAATCCCAGCACTTTGGGAGGCCAAGGAGGGTGGATCACCTGAGGTCGGGAATTCAAGACCAGCCTGACCAACATGGAGAAATCCCATCACTACTGAAAACATAAAATTAGCCAGGCATGGTGGCACATGCCTATAATCCCAGCTACTTGGGAAGCTGAGGCAGGAGAATCACTTGAACCCAGAAGGTGGAGGTTGCGGTGAGCTGAGATCGTACCACTGTACTCCAGCCTGGGAGGGCAACAAGAGCGAAACTCCATCTCAAAAAAAAAAAAAAAGACTGAGAGATTTTAAATGTTCTCAGCACAAAAATATGAGGTAATACATATGCTAATTAGTGTGATTTGGTCATTCCTGAATGTATACACATTTCAAAACATCATATTGTACACCATAGATATATACCTTTTATTTATCAATTAAAGGACCAGCATAGACTCCACGAAACTTAAGAGAGAGGTGGTTAACATCTGAGGGCAACATCTCTTGGAAACAACTTGAGTACTTTAATGATATATGTATCTAGCAGAAGAGAAAAAAAACCATAGTTTTAATTTTAAATTTTATTAAAGTACAGAGTTAACAAGTGTTGAGTTTTTTACATAGGAAAAGCGTAGTCAATTCAGATGCTTTATAGAAAAATTAACATTAAAAAACAAATAGAAATCCATGACAAAAGGGGAAAAATAACTTTCAAAAGTTACCAAAATTCTAACCATATCTGAGACCATTATAAATTTCAGACAGTAGATTTACCACACATATTGCATTTTCAAATTCTCATGTAGCAAAACATAACCACGTAGTTTGGCTACAGCTAATTGTTTCAGAAAAGTTTAAAAAATTAGCAAAGTTATATCTATAAAACTTTTGTAGAGTTTTCTTTATGCAAAGTAAAAAAAGGCTTAAATCTTTAATAAAGGAAAACAAAACAATCCTCTTAAATTTCTTATAAATAGCTCTCAAGACATATATTACACATCTGCTGTAAGCTTTCTTTACCTGAGAGAACTTCCCAGGATCCTTTATCCCAAAGGATTACCTTCAAGAGTTCCTCCATCATTTTACTCAGGTGAATATGATCACGCTCTATACAAGTGGATTGGGACATCTGCATTCTTAATCTGCCCTTCCCCATTGAAGTTTATTTCTGAAAGGATTTTGCTTAAGAAAAAAAAAAAGCTCTTTGGTAAAGGCCAAATATTTTTAAAATGACTGTTTCTGTTAAAGATTTATTGAGGAAGAAGAAAGAGAGGGAAAGCTCTAAACATCTGTGTGAACAGCTCTCCAGTCCTGCGGAGCCAAACGACCAACATTAGAGAGTGCACCTCTGCCTGAAATGCAAAACTAAGTTAACTGGCAAGTTACAGAAAATATCCTTCAGAAACTTCCACAAGCCAAGTGGCTACTGCCTTGTTCCTGATAAAGGAGGGCCCAGTGTTCTTTCTGGGTGTGTAAACTCTTAGTTCTAAGTTTGTCCCTTAGTTTTAAGTTGAGCCTGCTTTCATTTTCAAGAGGTATAGAATACTAGAGTATACCAAATGAGCATTTAGAAAGGCAATAAAGGGAGGGTAAAAGCCCAGGTAGCTTAACTACAGGCTCTGGAATTCCCTTCACAGGAAGGTGAAGCACCAATGATGGGAAAAATTAAATAAATACATCATCCTAGACAGGCAGAGGGCGGGCTGCGTGCGGTGGTTTACACATGTAATCTCAGCACTTTGGGAGGTCAAGGCGGGCACATTGCTTGAGCTCAGGAGTTTTGAGACAAGCCTAGACAACCTCATCTCTACAAAAAATAAAAATAAAAATTAGCCAGGTATGGTGGCAAAAACCTGTGGTCTCAGCTACTTGGGAGGTGGTTCTTGAGCCCCAGGAGATAGATCAAGGCTGCCATAAATCAAGATCATGACACTGTACTCCAGCCTGAGTGACAGAGTGAGCCAGTCTCAAAAAAAAAAAAAAAAAAAAAAGGCAGAGGGTGACAATTTTGGCATGGGGATGGGAAATTAACATTACACTGAGGTCACTCATAATGAAGGATCTTCTGAAGAATCGGAAATAAACAATATTGTATGGAAACAGAACCCCAAAACCCCAGTAACTCCACCTACCCCACAGCCCACCCCACTTCATCTCCCCTACAAAGAAGCTCCAAATACCTGTGGCAAACAAGTTCTTCAGACAATTCCCCAAGAAAACTGTGGGCAAAAGTAAAACTAACCAATGACTATTTTAAAAGCTAGACTCGGTAAAGATGTGGTTGGGTTTCTGAAGGCTTATAATGGAAATGGTCTCTAGTTTCCAATCAGGTAACATGCCTCCGATGGCACTCCCATAAGAACCCCCACCCCCTGGTCACCCACTTAGTGTTTTTACTCATAAAAATCAGGGGAAACTTTTCTATCAGATGAGTGACACAGAGGAAATATTCACTTGCAGCTTTAATAAAAATCTTCAACTGTCATCCCTAAATGTGTCTGACCAGCAGCTTCTGGGAATATACTCTTTAAGTTGTGTACAAAAAACTGTAAGAAACAAATGTCTATTATTTTTAAAAGATATCAGTGAGCTAATCAAATTAACACCATTGTTACAGCAACTCAAAGACACTGGCACGATGTTTCCAGTTTCTTAAATAACATTGCACAAAACTGTAGATTCTTTTTTTTTGAGACGGAGTTTCACAATTGTTGCCCAGGCCAGAGTACAGTGGCGCAATCTCGGCTCACCATAATCTCCACCTCCTGAGTTCAAGCAATTCTCCTGCCTCAGCCTCCCGAGTAGCTGGGATTACAGGCATGTGCCACCATGCCCAGCTAATTTTGTATTTTTAGTAGTGACGGGGTTTCTCCATGTTGGCCAGGCTGGTCTCGAACTCCCAACCTTAGGTGATCTGCCCACCTCAGCCTCCCAAAATGTTGGGATTACAGGCATGAGCCACTGTACCCAGCCATAAATATAGATTCTTTAAATCCAGGAATGTTGACCTGAGTATTGTGTATCACAATTAATAACCATTAACATTATTAACTTTGCATTGATAGTAACATTATTAACTTTGCATTGATAGTCCCTCGGTCCTCAGATACATCCACATCTCTTTTGTTCATCCAGATATACATGCTAACGTTTCAGATGAGAATAAAACTCAGATTCAACTTTTAACTCTTCCTCTTGCATCAGACAAACCTGCAGAAGGGAACGGGAGACCACAAACCAAGACTCACACATCTGGAAAACGTGGAGTGACTGGGCTGGCTCCAGAAGAAGTGATGCGGGCCTTCCACCAGCCACACTCCCTTGCTTGGGCTTCCCTGAGCTGCTTTCTGCAGAGCAAAGGGCCAACCACAGCCAGCCAAGGAATGCAAAGCCTTGTCAGCTTGACCTTGACTGGGCATAAGGTCAGTTTCTTAAATCACACCAGCTGGCCACCAGACCCAACTGAGAAGACAAAGCAAGGGCTCTGCTAGACCTCAGCAGGAAACTAGTCACAATACTGCCCTGGCCCCCGACCTGCTTCTCAAGAGTGTTTCCTAAAGACAACCGCGGCGTACCCAGGGCCCCATGCCACTGCAACACGGCTACTGTGTCTGACACGCAGCCCCACTCCCTGAGCCTGTTCCTGGCCCACGGAGCTCCTGTCCCCTAACTGGTTCCTCAGGTTAGCAAACGGCTTTCATTTTGATGGATCTCTCCTGCCCTATTTAGTGGAAATTTAAAGGAGTTTACAACACAAGGCTCTCTTAACCAAACACACAGATGGAGTGCCTTTTAAAACAGAATCTCAAACACTTAAGTAGGGAAAGTTCTAGAGGAATTCATCCCCTATATTTGTTTTTCCCGGGTTTTCTTGGGAGAAGGGTAAAGGAATGAACAGAAAGAATTTTACTGATTTCACCCACAAGCATTTTGGCACACAAACGCCCAGCTTAGGCGGCACTCAATTCTGCCCAACTCATAGAGTACGACACAGAAAAAAATGACTACGCTGTCTTTTATTCTTAGATCCTCACTTCCAGAGAGCTCAAGAAGATTCTTTCCACCCCGAATGAAATTCTAACATGGGTTTCCAAACTAAACCTCTTCCCTGCCTGAGGGAACAACACTGAAAATGGGCATCATCTTGGGTAGCTGCCAAAAGACACGTCTCTGTGAGTATTACAGTATGTATTTTGGAAATCCCTGCGGATGTTATTTACAGCTTAAATACCCTCAACCGCCCACCTCTCTCTCCTATTTTTTTTTTTGTTTGTTTGTTTTTTAGATGAAGTCTCACTCTTGTCACCAGGCTGGAGTGCAGTGGTGTAATCTTGGCTCACCGCAACCTCTGCCTCCTGGGTTCAAGTGATTCTCGTGCCACAGCCTCGAAGTAGCTGGGATTACGGGCACACGCTACCATGCCCAGCTAATTTTTCTATTTTTAGTAGAGACCGGGGTTTCACCGTGTGGACCAGGCTGGTTGAACTCCTGACCTCAAGAGAGCCACTCGCCTCCCCCTACTTGTCTTTAAGTATATTTGGCCACTTTCACACTTTTCCTAGCACGCTTCCCTGGGTCAGAGTGTCTGAGGTGCTGCCTGGGATCCTCACCTCAGAAATTCTCTCTTTAGCAAATCTACTCCAAGTTCACCAGAATGAACTTGAATGGTGTGGTCACATTACAGCTACATTACAGCTACAGAACCCAAAAGCCCTTCCGCTTTTACAGTTTCAAAGGCCTCAAGGTGGAGAAGAAACTGAGGAGCTGACCTCAACAACTGAAAGAGCAGTGCATGCAGCAGGCTTCAACTGGAAGCAGCTTTTCAGTTAAGGTCCTAAAAGTATGATCATTATCAACAGCACACACAAGTAAGAATTATAGCCCTCCATTGGTTAGGCAAAGAAAACAACACGAATCTTGTTCTGTAATCATGTGACTAACACCATAAAAAAGCGCCATACTTTTGCAGTAACTAGGATCAGGTAGTGACAATATGGTGGAGAACCACGTTGGGGGGTGACCAGGCAAATTGTGCTTTTTCACATTCTTACAAAGATGTGGGACCCAGAAGAGATGAGACCTTGGGGAAGGGTGCGGGCAGAGTGAAGTCTGTGATTTCCAGCATCACAACCTCAGAGGGAAACGTTTAGGGGCCATGAGGAGGCAGCACGGAGGGTGCAGTTGAAAAGCAGGTGCTTCCTCTTGGACCCTATAAATATCAGGGGCCCTGCAGTCTGAGTCCTGTCCTCAAAGCCCCCTGGGGACAAAGCTTTAAGAGGCGGGAGTTGAGTGAGAAGGGTCTGGATTCTGTCAGTGGCTGGGGATTTGGCATGTTTTTCTATTCCAAGGATGAGTATGACTGGCCACACAAGGTATTTTTTATCCCTGTGAAAAGATGCTGTGCCCCAAACTCTGTTTTGGCAAAACCAAACAGAATGAAGTCAACAAAACTAGTATCCAGTTTCTAGGGATAGGATATTTCAACCATGATCAGTTTAGTTGAAAATTTCAATTCCTTTAGGACAAACTGATAGTTTCTTTTTGAATTTCAAAAGTAAAAAGCTAATCAGGAGATTTTTTTTTTTTTTTTTTTTTTTCCTGAAAGCCTTTTCAGACCTGCTCAGGGACAGGGCTCTAGTCACTGCTTAACCCCCAGGGACGCTATTCAAAAGATGGCACTTTCCAGGGTGCAGGCCCACAGAGCCCAGGGGACCACTGACATCATCAAACGGAGAACTGCCGGGTGGGGCAGCAGAGGGGAGCGACCAGCGTCCACAGGTACAACAGCACGCAGATCCAGCAGGAGGCCATCTTAACCCAGAAGATGGACCAGCTCCCGCTGAAGAAGCTCTCCATGTTGGCACTTTCGTAGCTATGGAAACAAGAGACCCAGCTGCAGTCAGAGCAGGAATATATTGAGATATAATTCACTAATTCACATCCATGTATAATGTACAATTCAATGGCTTTTAACACATGCATACACAGACGTGTGCCACCACCAACACAATCCATTTCCAAACATTCCCATCACCGCCAAAAGAAATCATGTACCCATTAGGCACTCTCTACTTCCCCATGGTCCCCTGGTCTGCCCCCAGCATTCACCAATCTACTTTCTATCTCTATGGATTTGCCTATTCTGGACAGTTGATTTAAAAGAAATCACATGGCCTCTTGCGTATGGCTTTTTTACCAAAGCATATCATTTCCAAGGCTCATCCATGGGTAGCATGCATCAGTCCTTCATTCTTTTTTTTTTGTTGTTTAAGTGCTAAATAGTATCCTATTGCATGTATAGAGCACATGGTCATTTGGGATGTTTCCCCTTTTTGGCTATCATGAATGATGCTGGTATGAATCATCAAACTTACGTGGGTAAAAACTTAACACAGGGAAGTTTTTTTGTGGACCTAGTTTTCTTTTTGTCTTAGGTACATGCTCAGGAGTGGAAGAGCTGGATTATATTGTAATTCGATATTTTATTGTTTAAGGAGCTGCCAAACTCTTTTCCAAAGCAGATTTCACATTCAAACCAGCAATGTAAGAGGGTTCCAATTTCTCAACTTCCTCAACATTTTTTATTATCTGCCTTTTTAATTATAGTATCCTCCATCCTTTCTTAAGCTTCCCAAGCCAAAAATCCCCAGGAGTTCTCAAAGCATCACTGGGAAGCATTAAAGCGCTCTTCTCCTCTCCTCCAATCAATGTGCTTGAAACCACCACTCCCACCACCTGACCACAATTCCACTTCCTCATTTTATTTTTCTCCCCAATGCTCATTACCATCTAACACACCGTATCTGACTTGGGTCATAGTCTGTCTCTCCCACTAGACTATAAGCCCTGCCTCCTAGAACCATGTGGCACACAGGAGCCACTTGTAGATCTGTTGAATGAATGATACGAGGAAGCACAAGGAGCCTACATGTCTAAGCCTAACTTAGTGGTTAAATTATGACATAACCGAAGCTCTGGACTTGTAGAAAAAGTATGAACCTCTGTGTAGTGACAAGGAAGGCCAGGTCAGTCATGTATTGTCAAGTTAAAAAAAGCCCCTGGGGGAAAACATGTATGATGACATTTATGTTTTTAAAAAAAATGACATAGGTTTATAAATGCACAGAAAAGGAATGAAAAGATACACATTCTAGCAGTGGTTATCTGTGTTGGGGGGTAGACGGTGGGGTACTACATTGTTACTTTTCATAATTCCACATTTAGTTTGTAGTTTTAAAAAAGATGTTTCAGGCTGGGCAGGGTGGCTCACGCCTATAATCCCAGCACTTTGGAAGGCTGAGGTGAGCAGATCACAAGGTCAAGAGATCAATACCATCCTGGCCCACATGGTAAAACACTGTCTCTACTAAAAATACAAAAATTAGCTGGGCATGGTGGTGCGTGCTTAATTCCAGCTACTTGGGAGGTTGAGGCGGGAAAATCACTTGAACCTGGGAGGTGGAGGTTGCAGTGAGCCGAGATCGTACCACTGCATTCCAGCCTGGTGACAGAGTGAGAATCCATCTCAAAAAAAAAAAGAAAGAAAGATGGTTCCAACTTTTGTAATGAAAATGAAGAAAAATGGGGAAAAAGACAAAATTTGAAGTAGAAAAAAAAGGGATCTTTTCTTTCTTAAAGACAGATGAATTCTTAGGGATTCCCATTTTTTCTCCATTACCATGTTTTCCAGACTGTCTATATAGAGCTAACCTTCCATTTCCTTTTTTTTTTTTTTTTTGAAATGGAGTTTTGCTCTTGTTGCCCAGGCTGGAGTGCAATGGCGCAATCTCGGCTCAACGCAACCTCCGCCTCCTGGGTTCAGGCAATTCTCCTGCCTCAGCCTCCTGAGTAGCTGGGATTACAGGCACACGCCACCATGCCCAGCTAATGTTTTGTATTTTTAGTAGAGACAGGGTTTCACCACGTTGACCAGGATGGTCTCGATCTCTTGACCTCATGATCCACCCGCCTCAGCCTCCCAAAGTGCTGGGATTACCATTTTCTTAAAGTTGCTGTAGGCATCACCAGTTTCCAGGGTTAAAACATACCCGTCCACTGTTAAAACTCAGAACTCACCTGTAGTCTCAGCACTTTGGGAGGCCAAGGCAGTGACCTGATCAGGACCTCACTTGAGGCCACTGATCACTTGAGGTCAGGAATTCAAGACCAGCCTGGCCAACATGACAAAACCTGTCTCTACTAAAAATACAAAAATTAGCCGGGCATGGTGGTGCATGCATATAGTCCCAGCTACTCGGGAGGCTGAGGCACGAGAATCGCTTGATTCTGGGAGGTGGAGGTTTCAGTGAGCAGGGATCATGCCACTGCACTCCAGCCTGGGCAAGAGAGTAAAACTCCTTTTCAAACAAACAAACACGAATAGTACTTAAGACTTCGCTTCCAAAATCCGTAGGCCAATGGGGCACTCACTTGAACCAGTTGGTGACAGTCATCATCACATAGAGGGAAGCCAGAAAGAACACGAAGTGGAAGTAGGAATAGACATAGACGGTGCCCTTCTTCTCGTCATAAATGACCCGTGGCCCCTTCTTCCCCGGCTGCTGCTCTTCAGTGTCTGTGAAGCACAGAGGAAGCCCAGGCTCAGTGACTGAACGTGTGTTTAGCATTCAGCGAAGCCATGTTCGCTAATTCCACAGGGCTGTCAGTAGAAAAGATGCCAGATGGCCATCTGTACCTTCTGCAACTTCAATCTGTGCCCCGAGTAAAAAACCTCCACCCGACCCTAGCAACTTCCGAAACAGGATGAGTTACCTAATGCCACATTTATTTATTTATTTATTTTTGAGATGGAGTTTCGCTCTTTTTGCCCAGACTGGAGTGCAGCGGTGCAATCTCAGCTCATTGCAACCTCTGCCTCCCAGGTTCAAGCGATTCTCCTGCCTCGGCTTCCTGAGTAGCTAGGATTACAGGTGCCCGCCACCACGCCTAGCTAATTTTGTAGTTTTTCTTTTAGTAGAGACAGGATTTCACCGTGTAGGCCAGGCCGGTCTTCAACTTCTGATCTCAGGTGATCCACCCGCCTCGGCCTCCCAAAGTGCTGGGATTACAGGTGTGGGCCACTGCGCCCAACCTGCCACATACAGTTTAACAGAAACAGAACTCTTACAGATGTAAAACTTGCTATAAGCTTAGCAGAAAGGGGGAGAGAACAAAACAAAGTTCTCAAGCCCTTGGAATCCTCCAATCCAAGAGGGAAAGTAAGGTGAAGAAATGAAATGGCCCCAAAATAAGGTGTCAGGATCTCTTGGTATTTTCCACATCATTCCTTTTTTTAAAATGTGCTTTCTGGCCGAGTGTGGTGGCTTGCACCTCTAATCCCAGCACTTTGGGAGGCTGAGGCAAATGGATCACGAGGTCAGGAGATCAAGACCATCCTGGCTAACACAGTGAAACCCCCATCTCTACAAAAAATACAAAAAATTAAGTGAGTGTGGTGGCAGGCACCTATAATCCCAGCTACTCTGCAGGCTGAGGCAGGAGAATTGCTTGAATCCAGAAGGCAGAGGTTGCAGTGAGCCGAGATCACACCACTGCACTACAGCCTGGGATACAGAGCGAGACTCCATCTCAAAAAAAAAAAAAAAAAAAAAAGGTGCTTTCTGATACCCCAAATCTCACTGTACAATTTAACTTACATATAAACCGAAATGTAGACTGACTCTTCCTACCAGAATACCAACACAAAACTCAGCTATCCTTCAGGAAGAATGTGAAAAGTATACAAGCAGTAAAACAGCTTTAGAATAAAAATTTCCCCTTACTAATCAAGTTACTTGTGTCTGAACCCAAATGACTACAGATTAGAGCTATAGGTCTGCAGTGCCACACAGATGCAAAGAATAAAAGTGCTCTGCTTACCCTCTCCACCAGGACTGAAGCAAAAACAACAGCGAGCTATCTGTGAAAGCAAAAGCAACAGTCAGGTGGCTTGTGTTCTATTTCTAGTCTACCTCAGTAAGGCAGCAGAGGCCAAACCTGCTCTTATTTGAACCACCTCCCTGATCCTGAATCACATGTATCCCTTCAAGCGATTTGGATTGTTCTTTCCCAGGTGTGCTGGGTGCTGGTGACAGGAAACACCATGGAGGATGTGCCACCGAGATCCCCATCCAGGGTCTTGGTGCTGGCTCTTGCTATCATGAATGCTGGCAGAGAACCTCCAGGCGTCAGCTCTTTTACCCTTTCCGGGTAACCGCCACAGAATGGCTGATCACAGCAGGGGTAAAGGCCATGCCATTTTGGCCCCTGGGGTTAGGGTGGCTCTGTCCAGCTGCACTGTCCTTCATTTCACCCTCTGCCCAATTTTGCCTCCTTCCCCTTCTCCCTCCACATGTGCTGATCCTTAATAAATACCCCATGCAACAAACTGCCTCAGCCTCTGCTTCTGGAGAATTCAACGTGAAACACAATGAACGTGACAAGAGCCCCACTCTCCTGGTGCTCTCCTCTCATGCTTTGCTTTCAATGTTATTTCATTAAATCCTCTTTGACCTTTGTGTTGGATTATTATCCTGTTTACAGCTGAGGAAACTCAGGTCAGGCAGGTTAACTGGCCAAAGTCACCAAACTAGCTTAGCGACAGAGCTGGGACAGACGAGTATCAGATGGGGACACCAAGCTCCATGATTCACAGGAGGTGACACGTGGTGTCTAGGAGCTTGGTGACGCTGGTAGAACCTGAAATAGTAAAGAGAAGGAATTTGGAAGCGGCCTACTCATGTTTCCTATCCAAATCAAGCTGCTGCACAGGCCGTGGACAGGGATGCAGGGAATGCTTCCCTTTGAAGCAACGTTGGTAACTTGCAAATTTTTCTTATCATTATTTCTTACCTACTCAAAACAATAAACTTAATTTTTAAATCAGGTCATGTGTAGTCCGAGCTATTCGAGGAGGGGGGAAATTGCCTAACCCCATGAGTTTTAGGCCATAGTGAGCTATGATCCCACCACTGCACTCCAACCTGGATGACAGAGACCCCGTCTTAAAAAAAAAAAAAAAAAAAGAACGAAAAAGAAAAAAGAAAGTACGTGACTTCAGGAGTCTGCTAAACAAAGCACTAAGACAGCCTGGGAAGCACAGGGCCCTTAGCACTTTGTGGTTGAAGACATTTCAACTACAAAGAACAGATAACCAGGGATGAGAATATGAGTGCTTGAGCTTCCATTCCATTTGCACATCAAGGCCAAGCCCTTGTTTCCTTGATTGGCAAGGAAACCTTTAACAGAGGCATTAGCCTTAACAGGAGCTTGGATTAAGTAGCATGGTCTAAAAACCACGAATTCATTCAGTGGGCCCAAGACACAGTATGCTGAGGTCTTAGTTCTTTTGAAGCTCAAGTTACCCCAAGAAATGACGAACTCTCACTTTCAAAGCTGTATCCTGTGAAATGTGATGCAGGAGAGCAAACCAACTTCCATCCTGCATGCTCTCCAGTTCACAAGAGAACACTAGGACATTTTTCCTTGGATTGAGAAGAAAAACATCCTGTCTTAAATCCTAACTTGGAGACTTGCTGTTCTTTGAGCTTAAACTCTGTACACAATAGGGACATTGAAACCGTAACCACACAACCTCAGCAGGTGGTCACCTAGTCAGTGGTGAGAACAAACGCCCCTTCTACAGACCATTCTCTTCTGTATAATAGGCAGTAAACTATTCAAACTCAGCACAGTTTTCTCCTTTAGGCAACAGAAAGAGTTGGTGAATGATGCTGGCAGACTGACAACCCTTCATAATGGCTCACTATCTTCAGGTCAGGTGCAACGGAGATCATCCCCAGACAGCCAGCTGCAGAGTGAAGTGTCCACATGTGGGCAGACCCGAGGGCTTTTCCCATCCATGGAAAGCTATTAGAATGCAGGCAGTGGCTGGATGCCAGCTGCCCGCAGTCAGCAGCAAGGACCAGGGGTCAGCAGCTGAGCTCCTGGGCAGCAGGGGTCAAGATCACAGACTCTGGGGCCAGAGTGCACAGTTTACATTCTGGCTAATCAAAACCTGTGAAGCTTAAATGACTTAACTCTTGTATGTTTCACCTCTATAAAACGGAGGTAATAGCATGCCACTGGGTTTTTATGAGGATTAAGTAACAGTGCCTGGGACAAAGCAAGTGCTGTAAGTCTCAGCCATCCTTTGAACCCTTGGTTCTTTTCATTCTGGGGTCACAGCTGAGTCTTGCCGTGGCTGCCTCCATCTGATTAGACCTTTCTGATGTTGGTAGATGTTCCATTAAGAGCCCCAAAAAGACTTTTGCACAGTTAAGAAAATAACAGACATTTTGTTGACCGACAGGCACCTGCTGAACACCTTGTGGCTTTGGATGTGCAGGCAACCAATGCATGCATTGTTCATGACACTCTACCCAAAAAATGTCCACCTGATGAAACTGACATTCAGTTAAATGAGTTAATGTATCTACCACTTTCAAGCCGGGTGCGATGGCTCAAGCCTGTAATCCCAGCACTTTGGGAGGCCGAGGCGGGTGGATCACGAGGTCAAAAGATCGAGACCATCCCGATCAACATGGTGAAACTCCGTCTCTACTAAAAATACAAAAAATTAGCTGGGCATGGTGGCGTGTGCCTGTAATCCCAGCTACTCAGGAGGCTGAGGCAGGAGAATTGCCTGAACCCAGGAGGCGGAGGTTGCGGTGAGCCAAGATCGTGCCATTGCACTCCAGCCTGGGTAACAAGAGCGAAACTCCGTCTCAAAAAAAAAAAAAAAAAATGTATCTACCACGTTCAACAGCGTTAGGCAGAGCAGATACGGTTCCTTCCCTTTCCTCTCTCCTTCCTTCCAAACAGCTATTGCATAATCTCACAGCCACACTGTGTATGAAGGGCACAGACAAGTATGAAATGGATGGATCAGAAGTTAAAATAAAACCCACCCACACTCCATGAAGGCAAGGGGGGAGAGCAGGGTGCAGCCTGATAAAATTCCCCAAGCTTCTGGGTGGGGGTGGGCTGCAGGATGCCACACAAGAGGCCAGCTTTCTTAGAGAAAATCAAGAACAGACTGATTCATTTTAATCCCAGAGTATACAAAGGAAAGCATTGGTTTTTCTATACAAAAATCTTCTTTCCTGAGCAGAAAAACAGGATCATGGAATGCAGACTGCTAAAGACACAAACACAAAAGGCCCTCCTGAGAAATGGATCTTCTGAGATGAAGCTGGGCAGGAAAAGGAAATGAACTTACTTCCAGTTCGGGAGCAGCATATCGCCCCTGCAGAGCGTCGGAACTCGATCTCGTGGTTGATGTCAAACTAAGAAACGAACAAAAAGGTCAGCTAGGTGCATTAACATGTTACGACACATGGAATGAAGGGGAAAGCCGGCTGGCCATGTCTGATGACAGCCTCACTGTCACCTACCGTTCAGGTGACTTAAAGCAGTCTATTTTAATATCCCACCTGATTCCAAAATTGGCTGGCTGATTCTATAGTTGGTATCGTTTTACACGGATTACATTAGATCATTTTATGCAAAGAAGTTTGTAGGTAGTAGTAAGATATTTTGGTTGTCAGTATTGCTTTTTGACTCTCCTCCCTCAAATGCTAGAATAATTTTCTAATTTCACTTTATCTTTCCCTCCCTTTGAGTAGTCTTGCTTAGAGGGGATCAAAAGCAATAAGCCCAGAGATGGCAACAGAAATCGAGGACATGAAAGGAAAGGTTGCGGTTATCAACTGTGATAGCCTATGGCAGAACAAGGCTTGGTGTTTGGAAATTTAACAGAGTAGTAGTTGGTGTAATAAAAAATTCTGCCTCTCTCCCCAGACCTAGAAAGGTAAAATGTTAGAAAATTTGCCTTGCATGGGGTAAAATAATTTATTTTTTCTGAAAATAAAAACAGGTCACAAGTGGTGGCTCACGCTTGTAATACTTTGCAAGGAAGGGGCTAGAGGATCACTTGAATGAGGCCAGGAGTTTGAGAACGGCCTGGGCAACATAGCAAAACTTTGTCTCTACTAAACAGAAACACAGAACATTCTTTTTTTGTGTGATGGAGTTTTGGTCTTCTTGCCCAGGCTGGAGTGCAATGGCGCCATCTCTGCCTCCTAGGTTCAAGCGATTCTCCTGCCTCAGCCTCCCGAGCATAGCTGGGACGATAAGCGCGCACCACCACACCCAGCTAATTTTTTTTACAGCCCCTCCCAGGGACTGATGTGCAACCCCCAATGTGTACCCCCCAAACACACACACGCACATGCACACACGGCTTTCTCCCCATCTCAATTCAATTCAGTGGTCAGCTAGCAGCCATAGGTACCCACAACTACTGAGTCTGTGCCAGGCACTGAATATCCTCTCCTCTCTACGGGAACACCTGCCCACAGGGAGTGAGGGCAGCAGGAGAGGGTAACCGAGGACACAGAGCCCAGCTGACCCTGACTGGCTGAGTCCTGGGATCTGATTGCCCATTCAGCTGACACTGCCCCAGGTGCCTGGCTATGTGCCTTGTGAGGGGATATGGAGATGGAGCAGCCCAGCCGAGGAGTGACCCCTTTGCCCTGGACCCCATGGTCTCTCACCACATCAAGGCTCCAGGGCACCCACCCCTTATCTCTTCTGCCCGCCCCCCTCCACAAAAACAAAACAAAACAAACAAAAAAAAAAAACCTCTTTAGTAGAGACGAGGTTTCATCATGTTGGCCAGACTGGTCTCGAACTCTGACCTTGAAAACACAGAACATTAGCCAGGCGTGGTGGCTCAAGCCTGTAATCCCAGCACTTTGGGAGGCCGAGGCGGGTGGATCACGAGGTCAAGAGATCGAGACCATCCTGGTCAACATGGTGAAACCCCATCTCTACTAAAAATACAAAAAATTAGCTGGGCATGGTGGCGTGTGCCTGTAATCCCAGCTACTCAGGAGGCTGAGGCAGGAGAATTGCCTGAACCCAGGAGGCGGAGGTTGCGGTGAGCCGAGATCGCGCCATTGCACTCCAGCCTGGGTAACAAGAGTGAAACTCCGTCTCAAAAAAAAAAAGAAAACACAGAACATTTTTAAGCAAATAGAAATGTATTCAATACTTAGGGTTCCAGCTAACTTTAGAGATTCATTTAGCAATTATTTACTGAAGGCCCACTGTGTATCAGGCCCTAGTCTAGGCACTGGGGACTTAGTGACACAGGCAACAATCCTGCCAGCATGTAGCTTCTGAGCTGGCCTAGACATGGGCCGGGTGTGTTGGTGCTCGAGAGGCTGGTCTGCTCGTGGACAGGCAGGGACAAAAACACATCCCAGTCCAGCGAACCCCATGGGGCAACACTGCCTCCTCTGCGCAGTCTCATCCTCTTTCCCCCAGAGAGAAGAGATCAGCGAGACAGAGATAAACAATAAAAAGCTTTCCTCACACAGAGGCCCGCTGAGATCCAAGCTCACTGCTTCTCTTGTGGTCCACTCAAGTACAACAGCATCACTTTCATTTCTGCTTTGAACTGATGGATGCTAATCCAGGCCCACGCCACTCCGCCTCCTGATTGTGTGCCTGGTCAGAGGGAGATGGAAACATCTCCCCGTGACTGTGCACCTAAGGAACACACACCTGATCCTACCTTTAAGAGTGGCCCAGCTGGGTAGGGTGGCTCATACCTGTAATCTCAGCACTTTCAGACGCTGTGGCAGGCAGATTGCTTGAGCCCAGGAGTTTGAGACCGGCTTGGGCAGCATTGCAAAACTCAGTCTTTACAAAAAATACAAAAATTAGCCAGGTGTGGCAGCACATGCCTGCAGTCCCAGCTACTTGGGAGGCTGAAGTAGGAGAATTGATTGAGCCTGGGAGGTTGCAGTGAGCATAATCACATACCACTGCACTTCAGCCTGGTTGACAGAGACCCTGTCTCAAAAAAAAAAAAAAAAAAGAGTGGCCTTTATTCTGTGCATGCAAGTTTTGATTTAGTGCATGGCGCCTGGTGACAGAGTGAGACTGTCTCAAAAAAAAAAAAAAAAAAAGTAGCAGACTCAGAACATACAAAAGAATAAATACCCTTCCTTGACTTCCCTACTTTTCTTAATGTAAACCAATCCCCAGGCCAATGCTATCACACCAACCTGTAGCTTCGAACTTCCCCACTTCAAACTAGGAAGTTGTTTGATGTTGAATAAAGATTCTTACTTTTTCCAGTTTTATATTTCAAAAGATATTCTCAAAGATGGTTCAATATTAACAACTATATTTTTTCTCTTAAACACAAATAAAAGTGGAATGGCCAGGAAACTTTATAGTACAAATGCCTTGTAGTAATGTAATTAGGCAGGTTCCAGCTTGCCTTTCTCCCTCAGGGGTCATTGCTTCAAACCATCTCAGGAAAAAGAGCCGGAGAGAGACTATCCACCAGTCTCCCTAAATACTCCCAAAAAGCAGCCTCAAGGAATGGCTGCCCAAAATTGGGAGTAGAGAGCTGCAGATACAGGCTCCAAGCATCCTGACATGTACAATGAGGAGACTGACCTAATCAACTCCAGGATCCTGTCCAGGGTGACAGCTGAAAGCAACAGAGTAACAATTTCAATCAAAATCGGGGCGGGGGAGGCGGTTAAATAGTTTCTGGAGGTCAGGGCTTGTCACAGCAAAGTTCCAGACTAAAGGGGCGTACAGGGGTGGGCGTCAGAAAGCCAGGCACCACGGCTGTGCCTGTAGTCCCAGCTATTTGGGAGGCTGAAACACAAAGATTCCTTGAGCACAGGGGTTTACCCAGCCTGGGTAACACAGTGGGAGCTTGCCTTAAAAAAAAAATTTTTTTATTTTAAAAAAAAAAAAAAAAAAAAAAGAGCCATCAGGGAATTCTCACAAGTAGACCAAGGTGAGGGCTTACATGGGGTCCAAGCTGATGCTCTTTCACAGTAATGATTCCTGGGTGCAATGGAAGAAGGCTCTGGAGAAAAGGCGGCCCCAGGCAGAAAGGCAGGGAGTTAGGTTTGGGTTGAGCCCTTCTTCTGAGCTGAGACTGCAAACATTAAAACATACTCCTAGTGAGTCCCCCAGATACAAGAGTCAGGACAGATATCTCAAAAGAACCAAGTGTTTGGGGTGGGGCTGGGGGACTCTGGAGGGAAAAGGAAAGAGAAAAGCTGGGGAGCTTTCCAGCCTTCTACAACTTTACAGAAGAGTGGACCCCAGGTGACCTTGCCAGTCTCTCCTTTTAACCTACATACTATCTAGAGTCTCTGGCTTCCTACAATTTCTATCAAGAATCCCAGATATTCCTGCAATTATGCTCAATTGACAGTTCCCACCCAGACGATGTGGCCTTTTTCTAACATCCTCTAACCTTTCATTCCTCTGAGTGAGGAAGGAAAACAAACTCTTTAGAAGCCAGATCTGAAAAAACCCTAGTTAAGGTGACTCCCACCGGTACAGCATTCCTTTTATTCCCAGGCCCTACTAAGCCTGAATTCAGTGTTCTTAAAGCTGACCCCTGCAGGAGCTGCAGCGGATAACTACAGCGAATATCAATCACACAGACCCCGGGGGCATTTACTCCTAGGAGGCACGAACTGCTCAGCTCAGAGTGTGCTCTCTTGCCTACTGATTACAGAAGTACCCCACAGAGCAGACTGGTCATCCTAATGTCTACTTTGTAGGGGGTGCTGTTTTATATGTTCTCATCCCACCAGGCACTGCAGTTTTGTGATTTAACTATAAGCATTCAATAACAGTTTGTTGCTGGCATTAGACAGATTTTTAAAGTAGCTATCAACTTTGAAAACAGACATGTTTTGGGAATATCAGACTAGCCCCTGCCAATCTCCACTATGGTGCCTCAATCCTATCAGAGACAACATTTATTTATCATCTCTCACTCAAGGGCCGACTCAGGGGTAACAAAGAAGTAATTCTTTACACCCGCTAGAAATCCTGAGAAAATATGATAGGGGGAAAATTCCACGTTGTGAGATATCCTATGTGTGGTAACCCTATACAGAAGGCTAAAAACTTTTGCCACCTTTTCCATTGAAGGGTTTGTGGCAAATCCAAACTCTACTTCATCTAAAGGGGATTTTTTTTTTTTTTTTTTTTTTTTTTTTTTTTGAGATAGAGTTTTGCTCGTTGCCCAGGCTGGAGTGCAATGCTGTGATCTCAGCTCACTATAACCTCAACCTCCTGAGTTCAAGCAATTCTCCAGCCTCAGTCTCCCAAGTAGCTGGGATTACAGGGGTATACCACCACACCCAGCTAATTTTTGTATTTTTAGTAGAGATAGGGTTTCACCAGGTTGGCCAGGCTGGCCTTGAACTCCTGACCTCAGGTGATCCACCCACCTCGGCCTCCCGAAGTGCTGGAATTATAGGCATGAGCCACTGTGCCCAGCCAAGGGCAATTTTTTTTCCATATACTATTTTTCCCAGCAACCCATAAAAACATGATTTTATCCTGTCAAATATCTTAATAGTTTTTTATTTTTATTTATTTTTTTCTTTTTAAGAGACAGGGTCGGTCTCTGTTGCTTAGGCTAGAGTGGAGCTACCGCCAGCTCACTGCAGCCTTAGACACCTGGGTTCAAGCGATCCTCCCATCTCAGCCTCTCAAGTAGCTGGGACCACAGACACACGCTACCACGCCCCTTTTTTTTTTTTTTTTTTTTTTTTTTTTGGTAGAGACAGGGTCTCACTATGTTGTCCAGGCTGGTCTCGAACTCCTGGGCTCAAGTGATATTCCTGCCTCAGCCTCCGAAAGTGTTGGGATTACAGGTGTGAGCCACTGTACCACCCTGCCTGCTTCCTATATTGTAGCTACTCAGTGCACAACTTACGGAATAAAATCCTTTATTCCAACTTACGGAATAAAGGCCAGAAAGAAGTCACTACGGTCCATTCTGCAACAAGGAGCCTGTCAGCATGTCACACACAGACCAAGAATGAATGTATATAACCATCAACTTAACACCCACCTGCAAAACAATAAGCATGTTATGGCTTGATGCATGACCCTGAGCAAACAGACTCTAAAAGGTCTTTGTCCCTGTTGGTCCCTTTCTAATAGCAGAAGCTATTAAATGAGGTAAGAGAAAATGTCAACATGCTCACAAAGACATTGTATTTATACAAGCTATCACCACCAGGAGTGTTTAGTTTCAGCAAAGAGGAAGATTACAATGTAATCTGCCTACGACTGAATTCAACTAAACTGAAATCTTATACTGAAACATTAACAAAACGTAAACACCGAAGTAAAGGCTAAATGTGAAAAGGTTACTGTCAAAGGGAAACTTGGTTATCAGTGAAATATATACCCGGACTAATCATTTCTGTCCTTGACTGTTCTCCCCGCAGCCATCTTTTAAACCTTTTACGGTGGGAATAACGCCCACCATAAGCACCTGAAACACAGTCCACTCAAATATCAACCTGCTTTTGGAGAAGCTCATGCCTGTAATCCCAGCACTTTGGGAGGCCAAGGTGGGCAGATTACCTGAGGTTGGGAGTTTGAGACCAGCCTGATCAACATGGAGAAAGCTTGTCTCTACCAAAAATACAAAATTAGCCTGGCATGGTGGCGCGTGCCTGTAATCCCAGGTACTCAGGAGGCTGAGGCAGGAGAATTGCTTGAACCCAGGAGGCGGAGGTTTCGGCAGGCAGAGATCGCACCATTGCACTCCAGCCTGGTCAACAAGAGTGAAACTGCATCTCAAAACAGGGCCGGGCGCAGTGGCTCATGCCTGTAATCCCAGCACTTTGGGAGGCCAAGGCAGGCTGATCACAAGGTCAGGAGTTCAAGACCAGCTTGGCCAATGTGGTGAAACCCCATCTCTACTAAAAATACAAAAATTAGCCAGACATGGTGAGGCATGACTGTAGTCCCAACTACTTGGGAGTCTGAGGCAAAAGAATCGCTTGAACCCAGGAGGCAGAGGTTGCAGTGAGCCAAGATTGGGCCATTGCACTCCAGCCTAGGCAAGAGGGAGGGAGGGAGGGAGGCAGGCAGGCAGGCAGGTAAGGTAGCTGCCAGGACATTCTGGTACATTCTATCTCTTCCTCACTGTGTGCTCCCCTGCTCTCCAGTAAGGGTGCAGCAAAGTACTATTCAAACATCTTAGGCAATGGTGCTGCGACATACCATATATTTGCCTTCTTTATCCCAAATAAAAACAAGTAAGGTAAACGAAGTTCAGATATTTAGAGTTCATGCTCTTCACCTTTTCACTGGTGGGTTTCCCCCCTTCCTCAAATGGTGTTTGTTTTTGCAGCCTCACAGCTACTGAAAGTTATTTTGATTCTTTTCCTGGAATTTCAAAGTCTATAAAAATGGCCTTGAGTAACTCCCAAGACTTACCATGAATACAAGATACATCCGATTAAGAGGCCGGTCCCCAGTATAGTCACCAAGTTTTCATCTTTGTACAGGTCTTGACCAAAGTTAGGCACACAGATTGTAATATTTTTCCCATGCTCATCTAGAACTTGTAAAGAAAAAACAAAGTCATCAGAGTCAAATAGAAGGGCCATTTGTAACTCGCAGCAGCACTCATTTTGGGAAAATTCAGAGAGCTGTGGTGTACCTCCTTAGAACAGTGAACACGTATCACTGGAAACTACTCTACTGGCTGTTTCCATGCAGACTGCTTTTCTGCTCTTTCAAAGAACCATTCTCCCACAACAGCACACACTTGGAACAAGACTCTCAGATTCCAGCTCAGTGCCATGGGGCTCAAACAGATCCAGGGCCTAAGGAGAGAGTCTTGCTCGTTTTCAGTACTACTCAAACAATAGTAATGTGACATGGTAATCGCCCCATAAACCGCATACCTCAACCATACCTCGGCTTCCCATTGAAACTGCTCTCTGTAACCCTAATGTGACAGGCAAGCAGTCCAAACCAACGCCATTTTGGCCCCTTTGCCATTTTAAGACTTGTAGTAAGTAACTAAGGTCTGTAATTTCCATCCTACTCAGACAATGTGTAAACTAACGCTTATCTTGACTTCTGTGAACCACTTAAGTAACAACTGGAATGTCCAAAGTCCCCTGGCCCTCGGAATGTCCGAAGCCCCTCATCCCCACCCCCACCCAGGAGGTGGTTTAAGGGCATAAAAGGTCTTGACACCCTCCTTTTGGGGCCACAGGTTAGAGAGACGAAAGTCCTCCATGGCCGCCAGCAATAAAGACCCTGTAATTTGGCCAAGTCTTTGTCTCAGTGGTGATTTTGTGCTCGCTCAGTTACAACAGTAAGAAAACAAGTCAGGTGCATTTTTCAGTTGAGGGGGCAGCCGCCCCTAAAGAGTGGTAGGGTGCAGATACCAAGCTGTGCTGAGGCTAATCAACAGCCAACAATAGCTCCTAACCCAGATGAGAAGTTATTTTGCTCTAAGTGATGTGACAATCATGTTATCTTTCTGTGTATATCTTTCTGTGTTTAACTCTGGATCTTTTTTTCAATGTGAGAGGTGAGATATTAGAAAATATATACTTGGTCTTCATCCGCATTTACTTGCATACAACTCCTAAAATCCTTGAAATCTCCAAAGTGGTGTCTTTTTTGTATGTTAATGATTGACTAACGGCTGGCAGCCCCTAGGGAACTTCAGGATGGGGGCTGGTCACTAGACAGACCAAGGTAGGATTAGACGGCTGGGACTTTCAGACGCCCTCTCCAAACTCCAGGAGTGGAAGGAATGGTAGTTGATCACCGAGGGCCAATGGTTTAATCATTTAATCAATCATGCCTATGTAATGAAGTCTCCATAAAAGGCCCAAAAGGAAATGGTTCAGAGAGATTCCTGAGAGCTGGACGCTTACAGGAAGGTGAACAAGAACCTCATCCACGATAGGAAGCAGCCACCCCAACTCCATGGACACAGAAGCTGGGGACCCTTCCAGATCTTGCCTTCTGTATCTTTTTACCTGCCTGTTTGTCTTCTTTAAACTGTCCTTTGTAATAAATCAGTAAAGTATTTCCTGAGTTCCGTGAGCCACTCCATCAAATTAAATCACCCCAAAGAAGGGGTAACTGTGGGAGCTCCAACTTGAAGCCTGTTGGTCAGACGTTCTGGAGGGCAGGACTTGTGACCAGTGGGAATGGTAGGGCTGTTCTGTGGAACTGAGCCTTCCATCTGTGGGATCTGACCTCACCTCCAGGTAGAGCATCCGAACTGGACTGAAGGACACCCAACTGATGTCCACTGAGGAACTTACTGCCTGCTTGCTGGTGGGGAGAAATCTCCACATATTTTAGTGTCACAGAAACCTTGTGTTGAGGGTCGTAGTGTGAAAGCAGAGGAAACACTGAGTCATTCCAAACACTACCTAACAAAGATTCCTATAATGTTAACCGTCAGTGTTAATTTGCCTTTTACCTAACATGAAGTCTTCCGCTTGGAATACCCAACCTAGGTCTGCCTGCCAACTTTGCCACCAAAGCAAGTAACTTAAAATAATACTCTAGAAACCACTTACAAACATGCATATTTTAAATGTTTTAAGTTAGACTAAAATTATGGCTGGTATTTGTACTTGAAACAGTAAACATAACTGTGTACGCTGTGCTTTAAGGGATCTTTTATTATTTGTATAAATTTATGGGGTAACTTTTTTACATGGCTAGATTATATAGTGGTGAAGTCTTGGCTTTTAGTTTATCTATCACCCAAATAATGCATATTATACCCATTAAGTAATTTCTCACCATCCATCCCCTCTCCTGTTTGGCCTACACTGTCTATCATTCCATACTCATATCCATGTGTACACATTATTTAGCTGCCACTTAAAAGTGAGAACATGCAAGTATTTGTCTTTCTGTGTCTGCTTGTTTTACTTAAGATAATGGCCTCCAGTTCCATCCATGTTGCTACAAAAGACAGGATTTCATTCTTTTTTATGGCTGAACAGTATTCGTGTGTGTGTATTTGTGTATGTGTGTGTCATTTTCTTTATCTAATCATCTACTGATGGACACTTAGGGTGATTCCCTATCTTTGCTATTGTGAACAGTGCTATGATAGACACAGAGGTGCAGGTATCTTTTTGACATAATGATTTATTTTCCTTTGCATAGGTACCCAGTAGTGGGACTGCTGGATCAAATAGTAGTTCCATTTTTAATTCTCTGAGAAATCTCCAGTTTCCCACAGAAGCTATGCTAATTTACATTACCATCAACAGTGTAAGTGTTCCTGTTTCTCCACATCCTTGCCAACATCTATTACTTTTTGGCTTTTTAATAATAGTCATTCTGACTGGTGTGAAATGGTGTCTTGCTGTGGTTTTAATTTGCATTTCTCTGATGATTAGCAATGTTGAGGATTTTTTTTCATACGCCTGTTGTCCATTTATATGTCTTCTTTAGGAAAAAAAAAATGACTATTCATGTCCTTTGACCACTTTATAAAAATTGTACTTTAGGTTCTAGGGTACATGTGCAGATCACACAGGAATGTTGCATAGGTACACACATGGCAAGGTGGTTTGCTGCCTCCATCCCCCCATCATCTATACCTGGCATTTCTCCCGTTATCCCTCCCCACCCACTGCTGTCCCTCCACTAGCCCCCCATCCCCCAACAGACCCCAGTGTGTGATGTTCCCCTCCCTGTGTCCATGTGTTCTCACTGTTCAACATCCACTCATGAGTGAGAACATGCGGTGTTTGGTTTTCTGTTCTTGTGTCAGTTTGCCGAGAATCATGATTTCCAGATTCATCCATGTCCCTACAAAGGACATGAATTCATCATTTTTTATGGCTGCATAGTATTCCACGGTGTGTATGTGGCACATTTTCTTTGTCCAGTCTACCACTGATGGACATTTGGGTTAGTTCCAGGTCTTTGCTATTGTGAACGGTGCCACAATGAACATACGTATGCATGTATCTCTTTAATAGAACAATTTATAGTCCTTTGGGTATATACCCAGTAATGGGATTGCTGGGTCAAATGGAATTTCTATTTCTAGATCCTTGAGGAATTGCCACACCCAGATTGACCACTTTTTAATGGGATTATTTGCTGGTTTTTCGTTGTTGAGTTTCTTGTAAATTCTGCATATTGCTCCCCTATCAGACACTGTTTGCAGCTATTTTCTCTGATTCTGCAGGTTGTCTCTTCACTTTGTTGATTATTTCTTTTGCTATGCAGAAGCTGCTTAGATTAACACAGGTCCATTAGTCTGGTTTTGTTTTTGTTGTCTGTGCTTTTGAGGTTTCAGTCATGCATTCTTTGCCTAGAGCAATGTCCAGAAGGGTTTTCCTAGGTTTTCTTCTAGTATTTTTATAGTTGCAGGCCTTACATGTAAGTCTTCAACCTACCTGGTGGTGATTTTTGTATGTGATGAGAGACATGGGTTCAATATGGGTTTAGTTTTATTCTCTAGCATACAGAAATCCAAATTTTTCAGGACCACTTATTGAAAAGGATATCCTTTCCTCACTGTTACATTTTTGTCAATGAACAGATGGCTATAAATATGTGGTTTTACTTTTGGGTTCTCTATTCTGTTCCATGGATCTATTCTTATACAAATACCATGCTGTTTTGCTTACTGTACTTTGTAGCATAATTTGAAGTCAGGATTCCTCCAACTTTGAAGTGTGATTCCTCCAAGCTTTGCTCTTTTTGCTTAGAATTGCTTTAGCTATTCTGGCTCTGTTGTCTCCATACATATTTTAGAATTGTTTATTCTTTTTCTGTGAAAAATATCATTGGTATTTTGATAGGGATAGCACTGAATCTGTAAGACTGCTTTAGGCAATATGGTCATTTTAATAATATCGATTATTGTGATCCATGAGCATGGGATGTCTTTCCAATTGCTTGCATTCCCCTCCCCACTTTGTTTTTGAGACATGGTCTTGCTCTTTCACACAGTCTGGAGTACAGTGGCCTGATCATAGCTTACTGTAACCTCAAACTCCTGGGCTCAGGTGATCCTTCCATCTCAACCCCATAAATAGCTAGAACTACAGGTGCATGCCACCACACCCAGCTAATTTGTAAATTTTTAGTAGAGATGGGGTTTTGCTATGTTGCTCAGGCTGGTCTCAAATTCCTGGCCTCCCAAAGTACTAGGCCCTGTGTAGTGGCATACTAGGTATATGCCACTACACATGGCCCCTCCCTTTCATTTTTTTCATCAGTGTTTTGTAGTTTTCATTGTAAAGATCTTTCACCTCCTTTGTTAAATTTATTCCTAGTTATTTTACTATTTGTAGCTACTGTAAATGGGACTGCCTTCTTGATTTGGTTTTCTGCTAGACAATTATTAGTGTACAGAAACACTACTAATTTTTTTTTTCCCCCTGAGGCAGAGTCTTGCTGTCACCCACACTGGGTACAGTGGCATGATCTCTGCTCACTCCAACCTCCGCCTCCTGGGTTCAAGTGATTCTCCTGTCTCAGCCTCCCAAGTAGTTGGGATTACAGACATGGGCACCACCATACCCGGCTAATTTTTGTAATTTTGATAGAGATGAGGTCTCACCATGTTGGCCAAGCTGAACTCTAACTCCTGACCTCAAATGATCCACTCATCTTGCCCTCCCAAAGTGCTGGGAGCCAATGCACTCAGCTAAAACACTACTAATTTTTGTATGTTGATTTTGTATACTGCATTATTACTGAATTCCTTACTCAATCTAAGCATGTTTTGGTAGAGCCTTTCGGGTTTTCTCGCTATAGAATCAAATCATCAACAAACAAGACAATTCGACTTCCTCTTTTCCAATTTGGATGCCTTTTATTTCTTCCTCCCGCCTGACCGCCCCAACTAGGACTTCTGGTACTATGGTGACGAGGCATGGTGAAAGCAGGCACCCTTGTCTTGGTCCAGTTCTCAAAAGGAATGTTTCCTATTTTTCCCCACTCAGTATGATGCTGGCTGTGGGTCTGTCATATATGACCTTTATTACTTTAAGCTGTATTCTTTCTGTTTACTATTTTAAGTCATATTCCTCGTTTATTGAGAAGTTTTGTTTTTTTTTTACCATGAAGAGATGCAGAGTTTTAACAAATGCTTTTTCTGCATCTATTGAAATGAGCATATGGTTTTTATCCTTAATTCTGTTTATGTAATATGTAACATATAATATATCATATTTATTGATTTGCATATGTTGAACCATTCTTACATCTATGGTGTAACACCCACTTGATCATGGTGTATTATCTTTTGATGTACTACTGCATTCTGTTTGCTGGTAATTTGTTGAAGATTTTTTCATCTGTGTTCATCAGGAGTATTGGTCTGTACTTTTCTTTTTTCTTGGGTGCTTGTCTGGTTTTGGTTATCAGGGTGATACTGGCCTTGTATAATGAGTCAGGGAGAATTCTCTCCTCTTCCATTTTTTGGCACAATTTCAGGAGGACTGGTGTTCGTTCTCCCTTATATGTTTGGTAGGATTTGGCTATGACTCCATCTGGTCCCGGACTTTTTCTTACTGGAAGATTTTTTAAAATCACTGATTCAGTATCACTACTCAGTATTGGCCTGTATAGGATTTCTATTCCTTCTTGCTTTCCAGAAATATATCCACTTCCTCTAAGTTTTCTAGTTTGTAAGTATATGGTTGTTCATAATAGTCTGTAATGATCTTTTGTGCTTCTGTGGCATTATTGTGATTTTTTTTTCCTTTTTCATTTCTCATTTTGTTGATTTGATCTTCTCTCTTCTTGGTTAGCCTAGGACCTTATCATTTTTGTTTATCTTTTCAACAAACCAACTTTTGTTTTGTTTTGTTGATCCTCTGTATTTTTTCACAGGGGTTTTTTTTGGGGGGCAGGGGAAGGGCAGTCTTCATTTCATTTAGTTCCTGGTGGGTTTTTGTTTTTGTTTTGAGACAAAGTCCCTCCCTGTTGCCCTGGGTAGAGTACAGTGGTGCAATCAGAGCTTATAGCTCACTGCAGTCTCAACCTCTGGGGCTCCAGTGATCCTCCCACCTCAGCTTTCAGAGTAGTTGGGACTACAGACATGTGCCATCATGCCTGGCTAATTTTCTGTATTTTTTGTAGAGACAAGGTTTTGTCATGTTGCTCAGGCTGGTCTCAAACTCCTGGGCTCCAGATATCTGCCTGCCTCAGCCTCCCAAAGTGCTGGGACTACAGGCATGAGCCACCTCACACAGCCCTGATCTTTGTAAATTTTTTTTTTGAGACAGAGTCTTGCTCTGTTGCCAGGCTGGAGTGCAGTGGCGTGATCTTGGCTCACTGTAACCTCCAACTCCCCGGTTCAAGCGATTGTCCTGCCTCAGCCTCCTGAGTAGCTGAGTAGGGATTACAGGCATGTGCTACCATGCCCGGGTAAGTTTTGTATTTTTAGTAGAGACAGGGTTTCACCATGTTGGCCAGGATGGTTGATCTCCTGACCTCATGATCCACCTGCCTCGGCCACCCAAAGTGCTGGGATTACAGGTGTGAGCCACCGTGCCTGGCCAATCTTTGCTATTTCTTTTGTTCTGCTAGCTATAGAATCATATCATCAACAAACAAGACAATTTGCTGGTTTGGGTTTGGATTCTTCTTGATTTTCTAGTTCCAGGTACAATGTTACATTGTTAATTTGTGATCTTTCTGCTTTTCTGATGTAGGCACTGAATGCTGTAAACTTCCCTGTGTATGCTGTGGTTTCATGAATCTTTATTCTTGGGCTAATTTTTAAAAAGAGCATTTGGAAATTTAAAATAATCTTTTTTTTTTTTTTTGGTAGAAATTCTATGTTGCCAAGGCTGGTGGTCTCAGCTCCTGGCCTGAAGCAATCTTCCTGCCTCAGCCTCCCAAGGTGCCTAGATTACAGGAATGAGCACCATGCTCAGCCCTTTTTTTCTGTTTTTAAGGGATACCTGCCATTTAAAAAATGTTGTAAATAAAAATCCCATTAAGTTAAAACCAGAAATTAATATATAAACAGTCATAAAAGAAGGCCTTAAAGAGACTAAATTTAAGTAAACAACACAGTCAAGAGAGAGTATTAAAAATAAAATAAAACAAAATCCAGGACAGGCAATACTTACTGTTAAGACCTCCACTTAGGGCCGGGCGTGGTGGCTCAAGCCTGTAATCCCAGCACTTTGGGAGGCCGAGGCGGGTGGATCACGAGGTCGAGAGATCGAGACCATCCTGGTCAACATGGTGAAACCCCGTCTCTACTAAAAACACAAAAAAGTAGCTGGGCATGGTGGCGCTTGCCTGTAATCCCAGCTACTCAGGAGGCTGAGGCAGGAGAATTGCCTGAACCCAGGAGGTGGAGGTTGCGGTGAGCCGAGATCGCGCCATTGCACTCCAGCCTGGGTAACAAGAGCGAAACTCCGTCTCAAAAAAAAAAAAAAAAAAAAAAAAAAAGACCTCCACTTATATTACTTTCCACTATCAACAGCGATACGGGCAAGCCCGTATATAGTATGTGTATATGCTAACACCTTCAAAATGATCATTGCACTAGCTTTCCAAATTTAAAAGAGGAAATAACTTCAATTTCCTTAGAGACTACATTTTCTTGCCTTACATAAGCTCAAATATACCCAAACATACATTTATATGTGCTCATGTGTATGTATGTATGTATGTATGCGCGTGTATTTACATTTTTTTATATATCACAAAAGTAACAGAGAGGTAAGAAGGTTTCTGGCGGTTACTTAAGTGGCAGGATCAGTCTACGAACCAGGCAGCCCAACTTCAAAGTTCATGCTCTGATCACTCTATTATGTTGTCTCTGTGAATAAATGTCATTTAAGACGAGTGGTTCGAGGTCACATAGCCAGTAAATCATGGATCTGGGCTCAGATCCTGCTCCCCGCTCCCCACTTCCCCATGTTCTTTCCACTCTCTCTGTTCCACTACTATAGTCAGGAAAAAAAAAAAAGAAAAGAAAAGAAAAGAAAAGAAATAACCAACTAAATTTAGGTTATTTAGGCCTAAAAGCAAACTCCACAGCCAAACCTTTGCTCCTGTCTGTCCTACACACCAGGAAGAATCGGAAAAGGGAATTTTCCTTTTCGTTGCTCAAGTTAAAGACTTTTTTTTTCATGAAAAAGTCTAGATCATCTCTCGACTGTAATTTAGTACATTTCTAATATTTATTTTTATTTCTTAAAGTAATTTTTGTGGATAGCAGGTGTATGTATTTAAGGGGTACACAAGATGTTTTAATACAGGCATGAAATACGTAACAATAACATCAGGTAAAATGGAGTATCCATCCGATCATGCATTTATCCTTTGCATTACAAACAATCCAATTATATTCTTTCAGTTACTTTTTAATGTATAATTAAATTTGACTATAGTCATCCTGTTGTGCTATCAAATACTAGGTCTTATTCATTCTTTTCAACTTTTTTTTGGTACCTATTAACCATCCCAACCTCCTCCCAAACCTCCCCCGAACCCTTCTCAGCCTCTGGTAACCATCCTTCTGCTCTCTATCTCCACATGTAAACAACAGCTCATTCCTCCATGAATGAAAATATGCTGCAAACACAAGCGCCCTAACAGACTGGCTTACCCACTTCTGCAGGTTTGCTGGACAGAGCTGAGAAGGTGAGGTAGGTGACATAGCAGCTTATGACCCCTGATTGTAGGAGCCCCGAGTGTGGCTGTCCTGAAAAATGACAAGAGACAGACAGACAACAGGTTTTAATTTGAAGAAAAAGAAAACACAGGCCTAAAAGAAAACCACCCAACAGTCCCCATGACAGTCCTCAAACTTGAGCATCTACCTTTAAAAGAAAGAAAAGAGAAAAAAAAGTAATATGTTTCTCAGATAAAACCAAAAAGATAGTAAGGGGGAGACAGTTATACACTGAGTTGAACATTGCTATTTTAAAGATGTCAGGTTCTGCCAAGTTCTCTGCCAACATTTTATCAAGCCTATGGCTATACTTAAACATACTAACTAGTCTCCGTGGGTTTATAACATTAATTCTTAAATCACAAGATCAGAAACAAAATTACCATCACTGTTGATAAAGCCACATAGCTTTGTTGGGGAGGGAAGTACGTGAGAAACCAGGTTTGACAGGGGATGTATTCTGGATTCTACGAGGTCATCACACACTACGGACTATGACAGGGCAAAAAGCTCTTACCTGTCAATGGACAAAAAGCTTTTGCGAACAGAATACAAGACCTGCTCTTGGCTAAAGAGGAAGGCTATGGGGCTCAGCATTCATTGGGAGAAGGGCTTTAAGGTTATTTATATTTAACTTTTATTTTAGGTTCGGGGGTATATGTGCAGGTTTGTTGTAAAGATAAACTTGTCACGGGGGTGTGTCATACAGATGATTTTGTCACCCAGGTATTAAGCCTAGTGCCCATTAGTTATCTTTCCTGAACCTCTCCTTCCTCCCACCCTCCACCCTCTGACAGGCCCCAATGTATGTTGTTCCCCTCTATGTGGCCATATGTTCTCATCACTTGGCTCCCACTTTTAAGCAGGAACATGTGGTATTTGGTTTTCTGTTCCTTTGTTAGTTTGCTAAGGATAATGGCCTCCAGGCTCCATCCACATTCCTGCCAAGGACATAATCTCTTCCCTTTTTATGGCTACATAGTATTCCACAGTGTATATGTACCATATTTTCTTTATTCAGTCTACCACTGATGGGCATTTAGGTTGATTCCATGTGTTTGCTATTGTGAATAGTGTTGCAATCAACATACGTGTGCCTGTGTCTTTATGAGAGAACCGCTTATATTCCTTTAGGTAAATAGCCAGTAATGAGATTGCTGGGCCTAATGAAAGTTCTGTTTTTAGGTCTTGAGGAATTCCCACACTGCTTTCCATTATGGTTGAACTAATTTACACTCCCACCAACAGTGTATAAGTGTTCCTTTTACTCTGAAACTTTGCAAGCCATTAGTTATGTTTTTGAAAGTTATAATATTTCAAGTAAACTAAGGGTCCAGATCCTTCAGAGTAACCAGGATGTGATCAGGGATCTCTCTGTCTTTTTTTTTTTCCTCTGCGAAATTTCTGACCACTTACCAACATAAAACGATGCACTTTTACTCAGTCTTCCCTTTGGTCAAATTTGTTTCCAAAATTATCATTATTAAATTCTAATTATCAATAAAGATATAAAATAGACCCTGTTATAATGTTGCTTTTTGGCACAGGAATAAGATTTTCCTTAGCACTTAATGATATTAAACCAAATATTTCAAAATGTTATTCCTATTTCAAAAGGTAGGATTTGGCTGGGCGCGGTGGCTCAAGCCTGTAATCCCAGCACTTTGGGAGGCTGAGGCGGGTGGATCACGAGGTCAAGAGATTGAGACCAACCTGGTCAACATGATGAAACTCCGTCTCTACTAAAAACACAAAAAATTAGCTGGGCATGGTGGTACGTGCTTGTTGTCCCAACTACTCAGGAGGCTGAGGCAGGAGAATTGCCTGAACCCAGGAGGCGGAGGTTGCGGTGAGCCGAGATCGTGCCATTGCACTCCAGCCTGGGTAACAAGAGTGAAACTCCGTCTCAAAAAAAAAAAAAAAAAAAAAAAAAGGGTAGGATTTAACTCAAAGATGTTAATTTGAATATCATGTTGTTCTGGGAACTCTTAACTGATCAATTAAAGGAACTAGAGAATAATACTCTCAATTTCAATAATGAACTTAAAAATTTTTAGAGAAAAATTATTTGCTACTACTAGTTGCCCTCTTTTTTTTGTCTTTTTTTTTTTGAGACGAAGTCTCACTCTGTCACCCAAGCTGGAGCGCAGGGGTGTGGTCTCTGCTCACTGCAACCTCCACCTCCCAGGTTCTCCTGCCTCAGCCTCCCGAGTAGCTGGGACTACAGGCGTGCACCACCACAACTGGCCAATATTTTTTGGCATTTTTAGTAGAGACGGGGTTTCCCCATGTTGGCCAGGCTGCTCTCGAACTCCTGAACTCAAACGATCCGCCTGCCTCGGCCTCTCAAAGTGCTGGGATTACAGGCATGAACCACCGTGCCTGGCTACTAGTTGCCTTTTAAAGCACTATTTTAGAAAGGATTCAAGTGGCTGTAAATTTATTGACTATATTTTCCTACCTAGAACCTGAATGTCATGTGCATTTTCATCACATGAAGGGTCCAATGCCCAAAGAAAACATCGGACCAGGGACATCTCACTCTGTAAGCCCAAAGACATTATCCTGGTTTAAGAAATCAAGAGTAGTTTATAAATGACAATTCACACTTATACTTCATAAAGCACTTTCAAATCCCACTGTCCCTTCCAGCTTTGAAACGACCATGAACAAGGTCAGGCTCACATGTTTCCACTGACTTCACTGAGGAAGAACATGGGTCTGAGGAAGGTTAGCACATGGGCCAGCCCATACTGTCCACAGCCCTGAGTGAAGGATGACCCCAAATTTTCAATAAAGAAAATAGAAAAAAAAATTTAATTAATATTTATATAAACTACAAAGCACTTTAATCTTTTCATTTAGGTTTTTTCTTCTTTTTTTTTTTTTTTTTGAACAGAGTCTCGCTTTTGTTGCCCAGGCTGGAGGGCAGTGGCACAATCTCGGCTCACTGCAACTTCCGCCTCCCGAGCTCAAGCGATTCTCCTGCCTCAGCCTCCCAAGTAGCTGGGATTACAGGTGCCCGCCACCATGCCTGGCTAATTCAACTTTTACACAGAGTTGTAAAACTTCCACGACTCTCTCATTCAACTTTTACACAGAGACTGTAGGCTAGTTCATAAACAACTGAGCTTGATATACACAGAAGGCATTTCCCGTTTAAAGGCTCCTTGTGGTACATTATTTAGCAAAGGTGTTATCCTCCTATTCACTGACTTCGTTAAGTTCAGGTCTTTCTGACATGAGAAATGCTTGGCTATCACAGCTCGAGTGTGAGATATGAAGAGACTGGAGTCCCACCTTGCCTACTGCTGACATAGCCACAGTAAGTTAAGGAATACACTAGTTTCCAAAAAAAAAGAAAAAAACAACCCACTGGGTTTGCTCAAAGACACTTAGGAAACATGTAAATAAGGAAGAATGGAAACAAACATGCTTACGATTCTGGACACAGGGCGAGATGGCTACCAATGAAATAAGCAGGCACAGGCCTCCGTTCACACCCAGCAGAATTTTGTTTTCCATGCAGCCGTCTTTCTGTGTGTAAAACACTGCCATCGAAACCAAGCCTCCAGTGGCGACGGAATACATGATGAGCGTCACCAGGGCCAGCGAGGCGTACCAGAGCTTGTTACTGGCCGTGCCTGCTGTCCTGTTTCTCCGGGAAGTGGGTAAGAGGGAAGGAAGGAAGAGAAGACAAGTCAATGAAGCCCACCATTCTCTGATCACATTCGCCATCCCTCAGGCAGTAACTAATGCCATCAGGCCACAGGCACTGCCACCCAGCTGGCCCAGAAGACACATTGTTTTAGCAGGGATTATGCTCTATCAATGCTAGAAGGTTCTGGTAAATATGGAAACTTCTTGGCCCAAGTTTAGAATTTTCGCTCAACACTGAGAGAATTCCCCTTTCTGCCACAAATGTATTCATCAATTAAAATGAATAATGTCAATCCAAATGAGAGACTAAGCAAGAGTCTCAGTCAGTCAAGGTTTACGGAGCCAGAGGTCTGAGGGCACACCCAAACACACACGAGTCGGCCGGGCGTGGTGATTACGAGCTCAAGCCTGTAATCCCAGCACTTTGGGAGGCTGAGGCGGGTGGATCACGAGGTCAAAAGATCGAGACCATCCTGGTCAACATGGTGAAACCCCGTCTCTACTAAAGATACAATAAATTAGCTGGACATGGTGGCGCGTGCCTGTAATCCCAGCTACTCGGGAGGCTGAGGCAGGAGAATTGCCTGAACCCAGGAGGCGGAGGTTGCGGTGAGCCGAGATCACGCCATTGCACTCCAGCCTGGGTAACAAGAGCGAAACTCCGTCTCAAAAAAAAAAAACAAAAAACACCACAAGTCACAGAATCTTTTGTGGCTAGTGCTCCCAAGGAGGTTGCACAAGTCTCAGTATATACACATTTATTTAAAGGGGAAAAGGCATGCAGGAAAAGGACAGGCGGTGAGGCAAACCTGACATTCTCCTGAGATTTTAATTAGCGCTCAATAAACTCTGCTATACAAGAGACATGATAAACATTTTAAAAGGAAGTGAAGGAAGAGTTAATTATGTAGTCTCAGGGTAGGCGGAGGAATGACTGCTCTCCTGTCTTTGTTCTGCACCTGGGAAGATAAACTTGTAATGGGCATTGTCAGTGTGAAATGTAACAGACTGCAATTCCATGGACAAGGAGCTAGACTTAGATCACAGACCTAAAGTTACAATTAACATGTCCTTTTTATGGGAAGACACACAGCTTGAAACGTTAAGGGGCCAGCAGAGAATTTACTTATGAGCAATTTGAGGGCAGTCATCTGGGATGCATGAGGCCTTCTGCCTTCTTTAGAGGTCTAGAGCTAATGTCTAGCGCTTGACACAAGGTTGGGAAGTCACAGCTCTTTGGGGGGGGGGGTGGGGGGCAGCAATGTCACGTGACTCTGTCTCCAGGCTTAACGCTCCTTTTGGTAGAATGAGTTTGGGCAGTCCTGCAATGCTTTATTTCCTTTAGCTACCTACAGACTTTATTCTAGCTTCTCCATTCTGACTGTGGACCACCTTGTATCAGTTTTTGGCAAGATGAAAAAGTGGCTCTTCATGGGACTTCTCCAAGTTCTCTCCATAAACATGGAACCCCGAAGCGCAGAGCCTCTACTTGAAAGTGCTACCGGGCAAGGTGGCTCACACCTGTAATCCCAGCACTTTGGGAGGCCCAGGTGGGCAGATTACTTGAGGCTAGGAGTTCAAGACCAGCCTGGGCAACACGGCAAAACCTCATCTCTACAAAAAAAAGAAAACTTAGCTGGGTGTGGTGGCACATACTTGTAGTCCCAGCTTGGGACTAAGGTGGGAGACTTAGTCTCCCAGCTTGGGAGACTAAGGTGGGGGGATCACCTGAGCCCAGGGGGTTGAAGGCTGCTATGAGCCATGACTGTACTACCGCATTCCAGCCCGGGCAAGAGTGAGACCCTGTTTAAATTTTTTAAAATAATAATAAACTTTTTTTTTTTTTTTGAGACGGAGTCTTGCTTTGTCACCAGGCTGGAGTGCAGTGGCACAATCTCAGGTCATTGCAACCTCTGCCTCCTGGGTTCAAGCGATTCTTCCGCCTCAGCCTCCCGAGTAGCTGGGACCATAGGCGCGTGCCACCACGCCCGGCTAATTTTTTCGTATTTTTAGTAGAGACAGGGTTTCACCGTTGGCCAAGATGGTCTCGATCTCTTGACCTCGTGATCCACCTGCCTTGGCCTCCCAAAGTGCTGGGATTACAGGCATGAGCCACCGCGCCCAGCCAATAATAGACTTTCAAAAACAAAGTGTTGCCAGCAGCTCTTGTGGATTTCATCTTCTTGGGGAAAAGAGGATCAGCTTTACTCAGAGCCAGAATGGCTGACCTCAGCTCTTTACTGCCTGTACTAAAGAGGAGGACCTGTAACTGCACTGCTTCTCTAAAATAGTGAAGAAAAATTTGACATTAAAAAAAGTTAGATAGGAATAAGTTCTGGTGATCAACTGCATGGCAGGGTGATGATGGTTAACAGTAAGGTATTGTGTATTACAAAACAGCTAGGAGAGGCTTTTGAAGGTTCTCAGCACAAAGAAATGATACAGCCTGGTCAACAGAGCAAGACCCATCTACAAAAACCAAAAACCAAACCAAAACAAAAAACACAAAAAATTAGTGGTGCATGCTAATTCGCCAGCTTTTTGGGAGGCTGAGGCAGGAGGATCTCTCGAGCCTAAGAGTTCAGGGCTGCAGTGAGGTATGACTGTGCCACAGAGTGAGACCCTGTCTCTTTAAAAACAGAGAAAAAAAAAAGGGAAGAAAGAAAAAGATGATAAATCCACGAGGTAACAAATAGCCAACTGCCTTGATTTGATTACTGTATGACATATATGTATCAAACCATCAAAATGTATCCTATAAATATGTACAATTTTAATATGCCAATTAGAAAAAAAGGAGAATAAATAAGTCAGGAAAAGAATAATGGGATGTACAAATTTAAAAAACTAACTAAATGAGCTGGATGCAGTGGCTCATGCCTGTAATCCCAACATTTGGGAGGCCGAGGCAGGCAGATCACCTGAGGTAAGGAGTTCAAGACCAGCCTGACCAAGATGGTGCATCCCTGTCTCTACTCAAAACACAGAAACGAGTCAGGCGCAGTGGTGGGCACTTGTAATCCCAGCTACTTGGGAGGATGGGGCAGGAGAATCACTTAAGCTCTGGAGGTGGAGGTTGCAGTGAGCCAAGATTGTGCCATTGCACTCCAGCCTGGGCAACGAGAGCAAGATTCTGTCTCTATTAATAAAAAATAAGAGAAATAAGTGGTGATTTAAATCTATAGAAATTGTTCAGAACAAAGAACCAAGAATGGGCTGCCCTTGGGGAAAGAGGATCTAGGATCCAGTTGGTGCAGCTTATGGCTTGTCCCTTTGTGTACAGTTCTTAAATTATTCTTTTTATTTTTAAAAAATTATTCTTTAAATAGAATATAGGCATGTGGCTTAAAAGGAAACCTTAAAAGGCACAAAAGGATTTGTCTCATTTTAAATTAAAAAAAAAAAACTGTATCAGCATCAAATAATTAAACATTTCTTTGAATATCGTAAAAAAAAAAAAAAAAAAAAAAAAGAAATTGTTCAGAACAAGGCTGGGCATGGTGGCTCACACCTGTAATCCCAGCACTTTGGGACGTCAAGGCGGGCGGATCACATGAGGCTAGTAGTTTGAGACCAGCCTGGCCAACAGGGTGAAACCCTGTCTCTATACCAAAAACACAAAAACTAGCCAGGCATGGTGGTGTATGCCTGTAATCCCAGCTACCTGGGTGGCTGAATCGCTTGGACCCCAGAGGCAAAGGCTGCAGTAAGCCCAGATCATGCCACTGCACTCCAACCTGGGCAACAGAGCAAGACCCTATCTCATACACACAAAAAGAAATTGTTTAGAACAAAGAAAAGTATCTATAACTGCTAAATGAAGAGGAAAGAAGAACAGGGAGAATGAATTGAATGAATCATTGTCATCTGCCTTATGATTAAATGCTCTTTGTAACCACATTCTCCCAAACCTCACAGAAAAAGCAACTTGCTTTTTGCCCTCACAAAACTGGAAAGTGTTCAAGCAACGCAGCTAAAATGTTTTAATGATGAAAAAGTTCCTGCAGCCAGAAACAAAGAAAATAGGGAGGAAAGGCCAAAATGATAATGACCGTCATATTCCTGAAACTCTGCCAGACAAGACACTCCAATGACCTCAGAATTATTCTAACATAAAAGGCACACAAAGGAAATGAGAGAAAATGGGATTTTAAAAAGGAAAGAAAAAAAAAAAAAAACCAAGTAAGAGCAAATAATAACTAATGATAGGGAGACAGCATAAATTATGTATAAAATGTAAACACTGCTGACTAGCTTGTGGGTGGGAGAGGACCGAAGCTTTTCTTCACTAGTCTTTTCAGTTACGTTATTAGAATACGAAGGACTTCCTTATAGTTAACTTACATTTACAGTTTGTCCCAAAATTAAATCTTCAACCCTAACCTTTCCCCTGAACTTCACTCATATTATCCAGTTGCTCATTTAATGTCTCCACTTGAAGGCCTAACTGGCATCTCAAACTCAGCACATCCAGGCTGAGGCTACTTCCTGGTATTCACACCCCCATTCCTCCATCCCCCAAACCTGCTATTGTGCAATCATTCCAACCTTAGAAAACGCAATTTCATCTTCCCATTGTTGGGAAAGGGGGAGGGGGAGGGGAGGGGAAGGGGAAGGGGAAGAAGGAAAAAGGAAGGAAAGGAAGAAGGAAGGGAGGGAGGGAGGGAGATGAAAAAAAGAACTGCAGTCACTCTGGAAGCCTCTTGCTTCTCTCCCCTCCCCCACCCACCTCCAGCCAGAGCCAACTTCAAAACAGGAGGATCCAGTTCCTGCTACCACTTAATTTCAGACTACGCCTCCTTCGCCTGGATTGTCTCCCCCGACCTCCTTATTTGCACCTGCCTCCTTCTCACCTGTCTTGACTTAAAACAGATTATATTCTTTCCTTTCTAAGGCCCTCTGGTGCTCTCCCATCACACTAAAAATCCAAAGAAAGTCTTTACACGTGGCACCTAAGGCTCTTTGTTTCAATTCTGATAGAGAATTGGCCCTGCAAACCATAAAACTTGAGCTAATAAGGAAAAAAAGAACACACCAGTTAGTTCAAACAGATTATTTAAGTGTGAAAACTGAAGTCAGAGGGGCCAACTGATGTGCCCTATATCGAAATAGCAAGCATAAAAGGGGCACTGAAGCGGAACACAATGCCATCCCAGCACTTTGGGAGGCCAAGGCAGAAGGATCTCTTCAACTCAGGACTTCAAGATCAGCCTGGGCAATATAGCAAAACACCATGCCTACCAAAAAAAAAAAAAAAGAAAGAAAGAAATTAGCCAAGTCTGGTGCCACATGCCTGTAGTCCCAGCTGCTTGGGGTGCTGAGGTGGGAGAATTACTTAAGCCTGGGAAACTGAAGCTGCAGTAAGCCATGATCACACAACTGCATGCCAGCCTGGATAACAAAGGTGAGATCCCATCTCAAAAAAAAAAAGGAAAAAGAAAAGAAAGGGGAACGAAGTCTGCATCTTCTAGTTTCCAGGCCACGGCCTTTCTAGCCTACTGCTTTTAAGATCATCTTCTTCTCAAGATGTTTACAAAGAGATAAATGAAAAAGGGAAGAAAAGGTACTTTAGTTGTTCCATCAGGAGCAATGAGCACGTTTTCTAGATTCTTATAAGCAAGAGTCAAAAAACAGCCCAGCCGGGCGCGGTGGCTCAAGCCTGTAATCCCAGCACTTTGGGAGGCCAAGGCAGGTGGATCACGAGGTCGAGACCAACCTGGTCAACATGGCGAAACTCCGTCTCTACTAAAAATACAAAAAATTAGCTGGGCGTGGTGGCGCGTGCCTGTAATCTCAGCTACTCAGGAGGCTGAGGCAGGAGAATTGCCTGAACCCAGGAGGCGGAGGTTGCGGTGAGCCGAGATTGCACTCCAGCCTGGGTAACAAGAGCAAAACTCCGTCTCAAAAAAAAAACAAAAAACAAAACAAACAAAAAAAAAAACAGCCCCAAACTACCAAATTTAAAGGAAAATATTGAGCTTTCTAGCTCATTTCTAATTTTAGACAAACTACTATAAACATATTGACAACAGGGATTTTTGTTGGCATTTAGGCCTCAAAGCTTGGATAACAGCAACACTATTTGCTGCAGAGCTTTCAAGTAATTCTGAGTTTCTGAAAGTTTTTAAAGCAACCAAACTTTTCCAAACTGCATGCTAAAACTTGACATCAATAATTAGTCCCAGCAAATGGATTCAGAGTCAATCAAAACATTAAAGTCAGAGTGAAGAGGCACAAGTGCTCTCAAGGGGACTTACTATTTAACAGGCAGATCAGGCACTAAGGATGAAAACTGCTGTTGTTTTACCATGAAGTTCCCTTTTTGAAGTATACTTGTGAAAATTTTAGGATGATGAATTCACTTTCTCACAAAAAATTCCAATTGAAAGCACATTCAGAATAATCATGGAAAGAGTGATATTTAATCAATTAAAATTCACTTCCAACTTCTTGTGTTTCTTCTGGACTACTGAGAAAACGGGGTCCCGTACAATTACAGTCACACATTTGGCTCATCTTTAAGAAAACTCTACCTCAAAACAAGATCCAGTGGAGACCATAACATAAATTACTGGATCTCACAGATAACTCAAAATGCATACCCTGTACAATAACTTACACAACAGCACAACTCAAACCCAGAAATCTATATCATTATAGAGATCAGGACTTTAAAACATAGCCAAGCTTATCTGCAGGGCTACCTGTATGACTATGCAGTGTTCTGTAAACCATTTGAAAATTGTTCATATTTGGCCATGCTTAATCCAGTATTTACCAAACAGTAAAATGACTAACTCTAACTTTCCACTTACGCATCCCCCCAACAACAGCTGTACCTCATGAATTGACCCTTACAACCAAAAGAAAACAACTACCAAGTTGAACAGCATATTCGGAATAAAAAATACTGAGAGTATTAGGACAGTGTATTTTGTTTTGTCCATGGTAAAAATAAACTTCACATTCACACGGCACTTACGATTTTTAAAATTTCAGTATAATAAAATAATTCCTATAAAATATGCAAAATAACAAAAGCCTTACTGGGTACAATAGGTAGTTGTTTTTATTCATATTTTATAAGTAAAGAAAGTTATGCGGAAAGCAGTTAAGTGCTTTATCCAGAATCACAAAGTGGGTCAATTTGGCCTTAGAACTCAAGGGCTGGACCCTTCTCAAGTTGTCATTTTCTCAATGTGGCTTAGCAAGAAATAAAACTAGCTATTAGTAGCTGGGCCTCTCCCACTTGGCCCACGATATGAATTCAACTTCCAAGGCACTTAGAGTCTACCTTTTTCAAAGACAGGATGGCTTTCTAAGGTAGGACAACATATCTCCCTAATGAAGAAGTCCTTTTTCCCCTCTTGGGAAGATGAAAAGAAATTAAAAAAACAAACAAACAAAAAAAACAAAACTCTTTTTTGTTGAGACAGGGTCTTGATCTGTTACTCACGGTGGAGTGCAGTTGTGTGACCTCAGCTCACCAAACCCTTGACCTACCAAACTCAAGCAATCCTCCCACCTCAGCCTCCCAAGCAGCTGGGATTATAGGCATGTGCTACCACGCCCAGCTAGGTTTTCATAGACAAAAGGTCTTAGTATGTTGCCCACGCTGGTCTCAAACTCCTGGGCTCAAGTAATCCTCCCTCTTTGCCCTCCTGAAAGTTCTGGAAGTACAGGCATGAGCCACCACATCTGGCCCAAAAATTTTTTTAAAAGAGGCCTATTCCATCTCATACTCTGCAGAAGATGAATCTCCAGCTCCAAAGTTTGAGTTTCGTGTTCACTTTTTAATTTTGTTTTAAATTTCATGAGGATGGGAGACTACGAGGAAGGCTACCCAAGTTTTTAGCCACCTCCAAAACCTGAGACTGACAGGTACGAGTAGAGGGGTGAGTGTGGCTAATTCATACCACTGGCTGACTCAGAGCCCAAATGAGGGAGTAGGGGCAGGGGGTCAAAAAGTGAGAAGTAAATAAAGGAGAGAAGTAAATGAAGAGGTACAAAAAAAAGCAGGCATAAAGGGAAAGTGACAGCAAACATTGCATTTGGTGTAAACAAAGCTGCAAATCCCTAGCAATGCAATTGAGTACAGCCTTTATCAAAACTGGGCAGTTTCTGTGTGTCAATAGGAAGCTTTCCACAAAGGCACACACACCAGTTCTTGTTCCACTTATGTGCAAATTCCACAAGCAGGAGGAGCTGGATGCCAATAAAGAGGAAGCCTCCGATGGCTCCCACGTAGCGCCAGGCTGCAAAAGACCACGAAGAACACAATGAGGCAACATTTCCTTGTATTTCACTAAAAAGAGAATAACCACAGCTGATTTTTACTAGATGATAAGTGTACCTAACATGCTTAATTCCCACACAACCATATAAGACATGGATTACTATTATAAATGTCACCCACTTTACAAAAGAGAAAAATGGAGAATCTATGTAGGTTGACAACATCTCAGTAAGTAAATGGCATCGTTGGGATCTGAACACAGGCAGTCTGACCCTGAAGTATCCAAGCTTAACCTCCATGCTACAACTGCCAGGTATCCGAACAGATGCCCTAATTCACAAAATCCACAATGAACCACAATTTAAAATCAAACATATATTGCCCGAAAAATCAAAGGTTCAAATTTTATTGGGTAAAAAGTCAACAACGACCAGTAAGGAAACAAGGTTCAGACAGGGGGACAAGGACTTGGCTCTATTTCTGGCTCTGCCACAAAGATGCCGTTACCGTGACTAAACCACATCACGTGGTTTCCAGCTTGTCTGTAAAAATCACTGAGCTAGAGCTGGGTGCAGTGGCTCACGTCTGAAATCCTAGCACTTTGGGAGGCTAAGGTGAGTGGATCACTTGAGGTCAGGAGTTCAAACCAGCCTGGCCAACATGGTGAAACCCTGTCTCTACTAAAAAAAAAAAAAAAAAATTTTGCCAGGCATGGTGGCAGGCACCTGTAATCCCAGCTACTCAGGAGGCTGAGGCAGGATTCAAGAATCGCTTGAACCTGGGTGGTGCGAGGTTGCAGTGAGCTGAGATCACACCACTGCACTCCAGCCTGGGCGACAGAGCAAGACTCTGTTTCCAAAAGAAAAAAGGCTGAGCTGGACCAGAGGGTGCAAGACTCTGTTTCCAAAAGAAAAAAGGCTGAGCTGGACCAGAGGGTTTCTAGGTCTCTTCTCCCTCTAAATATACATTCTAATACATCTCTGGAAATTTTAAAAACTTTTAACATCATTTTAGGTAAAAGCAAGACTTAGGGAGTATATGAAAAACAAGTATGACCCTAAACAACTAGGTAGGCTCTGATACATAACTATATGAAAGATTATGGCTGTTCCTTACAAACTGATACAATCTAGAGGTTTTGTTTAGTTTTTGGGACAAAGTCTCACTCTGTCGCCCAAGTTGGAGTGCAGTGGTGCAATCTCAGCTCACTGTAACCTCCACCTTCCGGGTTCAAGCAATTCTTGTGTCTCAGCCTCCCGAGTAGCTGAGATTACAGGCACAGACCACCACGCCCAGCTAATTTTTATATTTTTAGTAGAAACGAGGTTTCTCCATGTTGGTCAGGTTGGTCTCAAACTCCTGGCCTCAAGTGATCCATGCGCCTCAGCCTCCAAAATGCTGAGATTACAGGTGTGGGCCACTACACCTGGCCTAAATGTTTTAAAGTACCTTACTTGGGAAAGTGAATCCATTTGGGTTGAACAAAATGCCTGAACCAGTGAAATTTAGGTTTTTCCCTCCACAAATATGAAAAAGGACCCCCTGTTTCAGCTATGATTAAAGGCGTCACATTAATGAATTGTAGCAGGTTCTAGCAATACAGAATATAATTCAATGTTACAGAGCTTCACATAAGGTAAGTTTAAAACCAGACTGAAGGATGCTTTTCCTGTCCCACTATCGCTGTAGTAGACGTTCAACTGCTGACAGCCCTGCGCTCCCTGTTGCTGGGTTTTCTGTGCAGTGTTTGGAAAGAACAAGATCTCACCCAGGCTAGCAGAGTATCAAAGTCCTCTTTGGAGACGGGAGGTAGATAGGCAATGGTGGAGAAAGTATGGGCAGGTAAGACAGGAATTTCTTCTGAAGCCAAAATAAAATCAGTAACTCAAACTATCAAAGGTACTTTGGACAGTGCTTCTGAGCAATTTGACAAAATGGATAAAGACAAAATAAATAGGTACCCAAAATACCCCATTAGTACCGTTCAGAAAGGTGTCCTGATCTGGAATGAAGAAAGCTCCTGAGCACATGGCCCCCAACAGCAGAAGTTTAAAGAACCAAAATCTAGAAGGGGGGGAAAAAGAGGAAATGTATTTAAATAACATTCAACAAGGACAAAGGACTTCTTAGAAAGTAAGCATGTCAATCCATGATTCTGCCATTGGCCAATGTTCTCTCCTAATCGAGGGGAAGTAATTGAGTGACTTGAAGAATGCCTTTTCCCATAGTTACACAGACTCAGTGCAGCCTCCAATTGTGCAAAACACCATTTCATTGCAGGGGTGGAAATGACCTGGGAAAAGGTCTTAGAACCAGAAAGAAACTCTTTGTCTTGACTAAATTTCGCATCATGGTGCCAGGTGTTACAAATAAGATTCTAGCTTTTAGACAACCATGTGAATAACAAGTATCAGTTCCATCTTCCCCTAAATCAACTATGTCAACTAGAAGAAGAGCAGTCACAGTGTCTGGTGGATAGAAGGGATCCTGGAATACTGTCTGGAACATAAGAAAGAAGAAAGCAATTCCCAAGAAGACTAAAATACTTACCCATTGTGAATATGAGCTCTACAACTTTTGCTGTTGTTGATTTTCAAGGTCAGTAGACAGAAGATAAAGAAGAAACAAGCCATTCCAAAACAGACTCTATATACGGCAGAATATCCCACCAGCTTCTCACAGGTGTCACCAGCTTTAATGCCTTTACACATCTCTTCAAAAAAAGGAATCTGAGGAGAAAGTTTAGAAAAGTCATCGGTTACAACTGAGTGAGAGGAGGCTGTCATGGAGTGTTCATGCAGGTGACCACTCAACATCCACTTGGAAATGGATCGTGTGCATAAAAAAACACACAGAGGAAGGGAATCTATCTTCTAAAGAGACATTTTTCTAATTTTCTCTGAATCTTTTTTTAAAAGATACAGTGATCATAAAGTAACATTCGGCCTTTACTTGCCCCAAATGACTTCTGAAATCCAACAACAGATTTTGTGAAAATTACCTGCCCCACTCTGCCTTCCCAAAATGAGACAAGGTCTCACTCTGTTGCCCGGGCTGGAGTGTAGTGGCACAATCACGACTAACTGCAGCTTTGATCTTCCAGGCTCAGGCAATCCTCTTGCCTCAGCCTCCCAAGCAGCTAGGACTACAGGCACGCACAACCATGCCCAGCTAATTTTTATATTTTTTTGTAGAGATGGGGTTTCATCATGTTGCCCAGACTGGTCTTGAATTCCTGAGCTCAAGCAATCCACCTGCCTTAGCATCCCAAAGTGCTGGGATTATAGGCATGAACCACTGCACCCAGCCAAAAATCCCATTTCAATACATGGATGTATTTTTGTTGATGTGTATACATATATAGAAATAAAAATTCAGAGACTTCTTTTACTATCTACCCCAAATGTCACTCCCCTCCCTCAGAAGAGTAAACAATTTGATGGCTAGAGTATTCGTATTAATTCACATAAATGTGTGTGTATACATATATACAACACATCCACATATACATACACAACACACATACATACACTCGTATCATACTATACATATAATACACATATTAAAACAGCTTCTTAAAATAAAACATTGTATGTAATGTTCTGCAGTATTTTTTCCCAATTAACAATAAGCCAGGCCAGGCACAGTAACTCATCCTTGTAATCCCAGCACTTTGGGAGGATGAGGTGGATGGGTCACCTGAGGTCAGGAGTTCAAGACCAGCCTGGCCAACATGGTAAAACGCCATCTCTAATAAAAAATACAACACTTAGCTGGGTGTAGTGGCACATTCCTGTAATCCCAGCTACTAGGGAGGCGGAACTGCTTGAACCTGCGAGGCGGAGGTTGCAGTGAGCCACGATCGTGCCACTATACATACTCTGGGCAACAGGGTGAGACTCCGTCTCAAAAAATAAATAAATAAATAAATAAATAAATAAATAAAGAGCAAGCCAGGAAGAATCTTTCCCTATTAATACTAATGTGATGGATTCCCAAAATCCATCACATTCTTTTTCATTACTTATATTGTAGAAAGGCTAGATCAAAATTGATAACCATTCTCACACTGATCTTACTATTTTTGTTGGGGAGGGTTTTTAAATTCTACTTTGTGTACTTGTTTTTTATTATCACAAACACTGATACAACAAATACTGCTGTTCATGCCTCTTTGCACCTGTGCCATTATTTATGCAAGACAGACACCTGAGCTAGAAATGGAATTGGTGGGTCAACTAATCAGGTTGAATTTCCCTCATCCAAAATGCTTGGGACCAGAAGTGTTATGGAATTTGGAATATTTACACTGTATTACTGGCTAAGCTTTCCTAATCCAAAAATCTAAAATGCTTCGGCGAGCATTGCCTTTGAGCATCATGTTGGCACTTAAAAAGTTTCAAATTTTAGAGTATTTCACATTTCAGATGTTTGGATTAGGAATATTCAACCTGTATCATATTTTTAAGCTTCAAGATATGAGTTAAATCATACTTTCAAAGCCTATACCAATTTAAATCCTACCATTAATATCTGAGCTTGCACATTTCCCAACTTGTACGTCTAATTTAAAGGCAAAAACCCAGTATCCTGCTTTAATGTACATCTTCCTTATTACTAGTGAGATTCAGCATCTTTTCCCAAGTTTATTGCCATCTGTTTTGTTTCTCTAAATTGGCTGTTAATTGAGTATTTTCTTGATCCACTGGAGCTCTTTCTTAATGGGTCTTAATCTTCTGATAAATGTTGACAATAGTTTATTCCAGCCAAATTAGAAGGCTCCAATGTGACATAATCACTTTCATTATCAGATTAAAATCTTATACAATGAGAACAAGCAGCACATTCCTAGTAACATTAACAAGGATTTGGTCAGTCGTAAAAAGCTTGCTTCTTATTAACATCAAAGTTGAACACCATTCTGAATAGAAAATAAGTTAAATCACATTATAACTATTGTTCATAAGAAAAATAAAGTATCAGAGAGAAAAGATAACACAAAACTGAAGGTAAAAGTGAAGCGCGATAAAGAAGAGAATTTACAGTTTTTCTCCAGAGAAGATACTGAAGAAACAATAATATCAGTGGCTACCAGGATTTCCATAAACAAATATCAACCCAAATGAGAGACTGACGCAAGAGTCTTAACAGGGTATAACTAAGCCAGAGCTGGAGGGCCCACCCAGAAACACACAATGTCACAGAATCTTCTGTGGCCCGTGCTCCAAAACGTTTGCAGAAGGCTCAGGGTTTACCCATTTCTTTAAAGGGGAGAAGGCATGCAGGAAAAGGGGGCAGGCGGTGAGGCAAACCTGACATTCTCCTGAGATTTAAATTAGTGCCCAGTAAACTCTGCTATACAAGAGATACGATAAACATTCAAAAAGGAAGTGAAGGAAGAGTTAATTATATAGTCTCAGGGCAGGCAGAGAAACAACTGCTCTCCTGTCTTTGTTCTGCACCTGGGAAGATGAGCTTGCAATAGGCATTGTCAGTGTGAAATATAACAGACTGCAATTCCATGGACAAGGAGCTAGACTTAGATCACAAACCTAAAGTTAAAGCTGACGTGTCCTTTTTTACGGGAAGATACACAGCTTGAAAGGTTAAGGGGCCAGCAGAGAATTTACTTATGAGCAATTTGAGGGCAGATACCCGGGATGCACGAGGCCTTCTGCCTTCTCCAGGGGCTGGCTAATGCATAGTGCTTTGACCCAAGGTTGGGAAGTCACAGCTATCTATTGGGCAAGGAGGGCAAGGTGCAGGGAGAGCAGTAGTGTCAGGTGACTGTTTCTCCAGTCTTTTTTGTTTGTTTGTTTTGTTTTGTTTTGTTTTGTTTTTTGAGACGGAGTTTCGCTCTTGTTACCCAGGCTGGAGTGCAATGGCGCGATCTCGGCTCACCACAACCTCCGCCTCCTGGGTTCAAGCAATTCTCCTGCCTCAGCCTCCTGAGTAGCTGGGATTACAGGCACATGCCACCATGCCCAGCTAATTTTTTTGTACTTTTAGTAGAGACGGGGTTTCACCATGTTGACCAGGATGGTCTCGATCTCTCGACCTCGTGATCCACCCGCCTCGGCCTCCCAAAGTGCTAGGATTACAGGCTTGAGCCACCGTGCCCGGCCTGTTTCTCCAGTCTTAACTTTCCCTTTGGCATAAAGAGTCTGGGCGGTCCTGAGATGGTTTCTTTTCCTTTACACAAACAGTTCCATTTTCTCCCCGCTCCCTTTTTTTTTTTTTTGAGACAGGGTCTCTCACTCTGTTGCCCAGGCTGGATGGAGTGCAGTGGCGCAATCTGGGCTCACGGCAACCTTCACCTCCAGGGCTCAAGCCATTCTCCTACCTCAGCCTCCCAAGTAGCTAGGACTGCAGGCATGCACCCCCAAGCCCAGCTAATTTTGTTTTTGTAGAGACGATGTTTCACTATGTTGACCAGACGGGTCTTAAACTCCTAGACTCAAGCAATCTACCTGCCTCAGTACCTCCCAAAGTGCTGGGATTACAGGCGTGAGCCACCATACCTGGCCAGCTCCGTTTTCATGGAGAGATGTGAAAGGCTTCATGAGAAAATATCCAACATTTTGTTTTCAGCAAATTCCTAAAACTACGTTTTTAATGACTTTTTTTACATCATTTTGTCGTAACAGAGACGAGATGTTTTGCTTGATAAATAAAGACTGCATCTGAACAGGTAAGTAGATAAACAAGCACAGTCTTAAACTATCAGTCCTCACTGGAGGACTCTGTGGCCACAACAAGGGTAGCCACTGTTGTAACTCGAGACCAGCACCTGGCATCTGCCCCTGAAAGCTCTGCCCCACATCAAAGACTCTTTCTTGAAAGACCAACCAGATTGACCAGCCCAGACCAGGAAATTCTTCTTTTCTTTGTTGCTCTCCCTGGGCTAGTTCATTAACCCTTTTCTTATTCCCTTTCTCTTAATGTTAAATGTTATTTTGTTTGCAGTGGAATGTTTAATCAGTAACACCTATATATTGACTGAGTACACGATTGTGTATGGTTTGCAATACTGACTGGCTTGTGCAGTGGCCAGAGCCTGTGTGCCTGCAGACCTAACGAGTGAATGTGAAGTACTACGAAGAATTGCCTCCTTGGAACTCCACGTAGCTGGACTCCACATAGCTGGTGGCTTTTGTGATTGAATTAGCATCAATAGAAGTCCAGTGTCGTGGAAAGACACAAACCTCTGACCTTGTGTCACTCACAAAAACCAGGATATGGCACCCTAAACTATTCAAGCTCGTTGTTCTGAGAAACTGAAGGCACAGAAGTAGCTCTGCAAAGCCGCTGTTTTAGACAATTTACATCTATAGAGGAAATGTACATTAAAAAGTGTATCAGACAACGTTTATTCACCATACATTTCTTCTCCTCACCCTCCCATTACGTGTTGCCAGCAAGTCCCGGAGGCCCCAAACCCCTATTTATTTCTCTCTGTAGCTCAAGATACTATAAGCTTCTATCATCTGACCTTTTTTTTTCTTTGTCTAATTGAGACAGAGTCTCACTTTGTTGCCCAGGCTGGAGCAGTGGCACAATCTCGGCTCACTGCAACCTCTGCCTCCCAGGTTCAAATGACTCTCCTGCCTCAGCCTCCTGAGTAGCTGGGATTACAGGCGCCCACCACCATGCCAGGCTAATTTTTGTATTTTCAGTAGGCACAGGGTTTCACCATGTTGGCCAGGCTCCAGCTCCTGACCTCAAGTGA